CCCCCCCCCCATTTGTTTGGTTTGTCCTGAGGGCTGGGTAAGTAACAATTAAAACATCATTTCAAAAGGACATTTCTGGATTCATTGAGACAAATAATACCCTGTGGCTGGTCTGCAGGAGGGACTTTTTTCTATCTTGCTATATATGACGACCTGGGACTTAAATGATTTCTTGTACCCTAATCTTCCAGTGGCCTGTGTGATTCAGGCATAGGTAATTTTAAAAAGTTTCCTGCATGCTTGACTTAGCTACATAAGCCCTTTAGAGCATTTACTGTTTTGTTACTCCCCCACCCGAGGAAGCCCTGGACTCAACTACTTATGGACATGCCAGAGGCGGCCTAGCTGAGTCAGCATTCTGAGCATGGGAAGTTGGGGGTACATAAAATAGGAGAGGAATCTGGAGAAGAAAGTCCTGCAGACATCTGTTTCATCATTGCCCAGTTTGGCTTGTTCTGTTTTCCTCAACTATCTCTGTCATGATAGTGGATGTCTCAAGCTCTTTGTCCACACACTATCCTCTTTTGTTTCTTTTTTTTCTTTTTGGGTCACACCCCAGGATGCTCAGGGATTATTCCTGGCTTTGCACTCAGGAATTACTCCTGGCAGTGCTTAGGGGACCATATGGGATGCTGGGAATCGAACCCAGGTTGGCCGCTGCAAAGCCAACGCCCTACCCACTGTGCTATCACTCCAGCCCAACACTACCCTCTTAATTTTCAGTCTTACTCAGTCCCCTACAAAATGTCAGCTTTTTGGAAATTTGGGGGCATGAACATTTAAATTTGGGTCTATTCCATGTAAATTTTTTTGTTGGTTTGTGTAGGGGAACATGTCTTCTCAATTGAAATTCCAGACACTGCCTCTGACAAGTATAGTTACACTGATGTGGATAGCATATCACTATGCAGGGGACCATCTCGATAGAGGTGTGTGGTTTCGTTGTACTTTAATATATTATCTTTGTGTAAGCACTTACCTGAAAAGAGGGGGTTTTTTTGTTTGTTTGATTGTTTTTCGGGGCACAACTGGTGATGTTCAGGTGCCACTCCTGATTACTCTTGGCAGTGCTTAGTCCCTATAGGGGTGCTAGGGATTGAACCTGGGTCAGGTGCGTGAAAGGCAAGCACCTTACCGGCTGTACTATCTCTCCAGCCCTTGAACGGAATCTCTTTATTGGTAGTTCTGAGAATCAAACTCAGGGCCTAACACATGCATTGCGAGTGTCGCTTATATATACGTGTGCCCTGGGGAAATCCGAGCAGGACAGGTAAAAGACGTCAGTGCTTCCTGAAGGTCTTGGAGAAGGTACTCAAACCCAGATCCTGTTGGGTCCAAGCCTTGGCTGGTGAAATTCTTTGCCAGGAATGAGACACATTAGGCAGAGCAAAGGCAGTTTATTGAAAGAGTTCACTGGTCAGACTGACACAGTGGAGTCTCTCCAGAGACCCATCTAGCCTTCTTAGGGGGCACGTCTGAACTGGGCTCTTTCAGGTGGGAAACTTGTGCTTTCTACAGATTAGTTAGTCTTGGGACCTGGGGGGTGGGATGGGGCATGCAGGAGACATGACCCAGTTTTTGCGAAAAAGTACAAATGTACCTTTTGATTGTATATAAACTATTCTGGGGCTGGAGCGATAGCACAGTGGGTAGAGCGTTTGCCTTGACCCGAGTTCGATTCTTCCGCCCCTCTCGGAGAGCCCGGCAAGCTACCGAGAGTATCTCGCCTGCCCGGCAAAGCCTGGCAAGCTACCCGTGATGTATTAGATATACCAAACATAGTAACAATTGTCACAATGGAGACGTTACTGGGCCCGGAGCAAATTGATGAACAACGGGAGGAGAGTGACAGTGATAAACTATTCTAAGCCAATCACGTAAAAAGAAAAATATGCATTGTAATTTGATTCAACTCTGAAATTGATTGTTCTAGCCAATCATATAAAGATAATATAACCATTTTAGCCTATCTCAGGAAGTGAGTAGTGTGGTCGAGTCTAGAAATTTCCGTGACTAAGGCATAGAATGGATGTCTTGCTGGGCCAGATTGATAAAGAAGGGGTGCTGAGGCCAGTTCTAGGGACTGTTGTACAGAATGAAGCAATGGTGGGGCCCCTAGAACCTCCTGGCATGGCTGCTGCTTTTAACAAGGGGAGTCTCCAGCTGGAGTGATAGCATAGCGGGTTTGCCTTGCTCGCGCCCGACCTGAGTTTGATTCCCAGCATCCCATATGGTCCTCCGAGCACTGCCAGGAGTAATTCCTGAGTGCATGAGCCAGGAGTAACTCCTGTGCATCGCCGGGTGTGACCCAAAGAGCAAAAAAAAGAAAAAAAAATCCAATAAGGACAGTCCCAGCCTGCCAGACTTTTGAAATGGAGACAAGCTAGGCAACTATTTAGGGGGCTTTTGCTAGACCATTTCACAGCTGACTTCATTTTGATCCCTGGCATTGCATGGTTCTTCAGTTATTACTGAGTGTAATCCTTAAGATCCCTGGGTGTAAAAACTCTCCGGGGAGGGTGGGGAGGGGGTTCCGATGGCTCTCCCCCTCGCTGCCTGCGCTGCCTGCGTTCAGGAGGCCCTAGGCCGCTCCCCTAACCAGGGTGGCTCGAACCCTGGTGCAGATGGAGGGAGGAAACGAGGGCCAAGCCGAATGATTTGATCAGTTTCCTGAGCCCTCCACTTTAGTCTCCCACTGCCTCTCATTCCCGTCTCCTCCTGTCTCTCCCGCTCCTCTCCACACTCCATCTCGCAGCCCCTGCTCTCTCTCTCTCCACGAGCCTGCTCCTGTATTCTTCTACATCCTTCTCTCTTCTGTCCCCCTTACTATCTCCGCCCTCCATCGCAGCCCTGCCTCTCTCTCATCTCTCCTCCAACTCTCTGGTCTCTCTCCCCCTTGCCCTCTGGGCCCATGCTACCACCAGTCTGGTGGCAAAATCAACTTAAGAAAGTCCTTCCCACCAGGTTTAAAGGAAACACCACCTAAGGGCATTCCAAAGCCCTTCCTGACTGCCCCTGGCGAAATACCTCTTAAGGTGTTTTTCTCCTTCCTCAGTCCAAAAACTCAATCAACATCTTAATACTAGTTATTTTTGTATGGACACAGTAAGAGTTACACTGAGGCTTGTAGGGCAGCTCTCCTGAGAACATCTTGCCACAGACTCAGACTACAGAGCTCAGGCCAGATTAATCATTCCTAACCCTCGCAGAGCCCAAATCTAGTTATTACTTTTTGGATCATAACAGCATCTGTCCATGACCAAGCTCTTAACTTAGGCACTTTGGCCAGGCCCATCTCGATGCCAGGTAGCACATAGCTCACTGCTTGACCTGGTTCCATCCAGTCCCTCATCGGGACCCTGCTTTTGGGGGTGCTAGGAAGTAAGGGCAGCTGAGGCTTTAGGTTGAGAGAACAGATGCCCAGGAGGAAAATATCACTGAGTCATGTTACAGAAGCATAGCATATACAGTCTTCCTGTGTCCATGCAAAAAGGATATTTCTTTGAATAAACTATGCAAAGGACTTAGGAAGAAGAGAAAAACAATATTTACAAGTCAGCAGAGCACCAGGAAAGAAGTTACAAATAAACACACAGGGAAGGAAGCACTGTGATGGGAGCAACCCAGTAAACCTAAACTACCCGAGGCTATGAAACCAATGTTATCTTACACCTGAGCACTGCTGAGTATGAGCCTGGGTCATCCGTGGTATCTCAGGGCCCTGGTGGTACTTCCTTTCACAGAGGTGCCCATCAGCTTGGCCCTTAGCAGTAGGTGGGACCCTGGACCCTGTTCACCAGTGGGGAGGCCCCCTCCCAAGAGAAATTAAATCATTTGATAAATAGGCTTTTAAAAAATATTTTAATTTTAATTAAAAATTTAATAATTAAAAATTATAAATAAACTATATTCATTGATGATAAAGATATTTCCCATGGAACCCAGAAACACACGGGGGCAGGGGTGGAGAATAATTAGCCCCTAATAATACTGAAGCATTAGTTGAGGAGTTACTGATAAGTAGTCTTAATAAAATTTGTCAAAAGTCTCAGCGGACCATGCATTTTACTTTTTGCCTGTTGTTTGAACATAAAAATGTAGCATGAGTCAGCAGTGGAATGGAAGCAGAAGGTTTGAAAACAAGACTGTTCAAGTCTTGTTTAGATTCCTCATGAGTTACAAGTTTTAGATCTGTGTAGAAACCTCTTGGGGGCTGGAGCAACAGCCCAGAAGGTAGGGCATTTGCCTTGCACGCGGCCGACCTGGGTTCGATTCCCAGCATCCCATATGGTCCCCTGAGCACTGCCAGGGGTAATTCTCGAGTGCAGAGCCAGGAGTAGCCCCTGTGCATCGCCGGGTGTGACCGAAAATAGCAAAAAAGAAAAAAAATTAAAAAGAAACCTCTTGTTTCCTATAGTAATAGGTTGGGTTTGAACTACTTGATTGTTCTTGTCTTTAAGCAAAATAACACATGGGGCTGGAGCAATAGCACAGTGGGTAGGGCGTTTGCCTTGGATGCGGCCAACCTGGGTTCGAATCCCAGCATCCCATATAGTCCCACCAAGCACTGCCAGGAGTAACCCCTGTGCATCGCCCAGGTGTGACGGAAAAAAAAAAATGACACACAGAGCATTTGTTTTTGATTTATGTATTTTTAATTATGGTGCTATTTATAAAGTTTCTTTTTTTCCCCCTTTAGGTTGGCAGTGCTGGCAGTTGAATCCAGGGCCTCACACAATGCAAACGAAATGCTTTCCCGCTGAGCCACATCTTTGGTCCATATTTATAAAGTTTTCAACTTCAGCTGAGATTTAGGACTGTTCATATGTAGCCTTGAGATTTGGGACTGTTCATAGGTAGCCTACTATGTTGTACCCAAATCTATGATAACAGATTTATGTCATTTTGTTTTAAAATTGTACCCTTCATTTCAAATGGTTTTCTTAATTTTCAGCAACCCTTTATATAATGAATGCCGCATTGTTTCATTTTTGTCCCAGCAGGAAGAATGGTCTGAAATGTAAAAGCATCAGCATTTGCTTTGAATGTGACAAGAAACACACTGCTCTGCTGAGGACTTGAGTTCAGGACGTCACACTGGGAGGAAAGCTTGATGCAAACTGATTTCTTAGTTCTAATAAGCATCTCTTCTTGGCAACTTCTAGGAAAAGGTAAACTGTGTTCACTTATTATTATTAATTGTTTTCTTTCTGGGTTTTGACCACACCGAGCAGTGCTTGAGAGCTACTCATGATTTAGTGATTGGGGTTTACCCATCGCGGTCCCAAGGCACCTGTGTGGTGCTGGGAATTGAATCTGCCACTCCCAGATGCAAAGCATATGCTCCAGCTCTTTGAGCTATCTTGGGGATCTAATTTTTAAATTTTAGAACCAGCATTATTCTTTGCATTTGTGATTTTTATTTCTCAGTACAGAATTAGAACCCGAAGATTTAAAAGAAAAGCAAAAAACTGTCCAACGGTGACAGATGGCAACATTTTGCTCTTTGTTTTTCAAAGGGTTTTATCTTGTGCGCCTCAGCTTTCATCTACTTAGGTGTACAACAGGATCTTAGTGCTTTACTAGTGGAAGGAATTCAGGTGAATATTAGTGCTTTGGGCTGGAGCGATAGCACAGTGGGTAGGGCGTTTGCCTTGCAAACGGCCAACATGACCGACCCGAGTTCGATTCCTCCGCGCCTCTCGGAGAGCCTGGCAAGCTACCGAGAGTATCTCGCCCGCACGGCAGAGCCTGGCAAGCCACCCGTGATGTATTCGATATGCCAAACACAGTAACAACAAGTCTCACAATTTGTTGTGAGATGTTACTGGTGCCCGCTCGAGCAAATCGATGAACAACGGGAGGACAGTGACAGTGACAGTGATTAGCACTTTATTGCTCCCAGAAATTTAGGCATTTCCCTGGCATGATGCGCTATTTTTTTTTTTTTTGGTTTTGTTTTATTTTTTGGTTTTGCACTGCACTGACTGTGCTTATCCCTGGTCCTGCATTTAGGGATTATTCCTGGAGGTGCTCAGGGATTGAATATGTGATGCCAGGGATTGAACCTAGGTCTGCATGCAGAGCAAGTACCCTGCCTGCTGTACCGTCTCTGGCCCCATCATGATTTTCTCTGGGAAGTGCCTGGCGGTGTGTGACTTACATGCTTGTTGTTGCCTTGGAAGCACTGTGGTTCCTTTAGCCCAGAGTGCATTTCCCTGTCATCCTTCTGCACCGCTGCCTGCTACTCTGCTGCTATGGAAAACTCAGCCGCACTGGCTGCTAGTGTTTGGTGGGCTGAATTGCTGTAGTCTCATCTTTGCTCTTCTCTGGCCATCAAGGAAACCTATACTCTGTGTGTGTGTGTGTGTGTGTGTGTGTGTGTGTGTGTGTGTGTGTTTGTATTGGTCTTAGCACCTGGTTTTGGCGCCTACTTCCTGCATGGTGCTTGAGGGACCATGTAACAGTATGTTTAAAACCCAGATTTTCTACTTGCAAAGCTGATACTTCAGCCCTTTGAGCCACCTCTCTTGTCCTAAACCTATGATTTTTATGGCCAGCTTTTTATTTTGTTTGTTTTTGGACCTCACTTGGCAATGCTCAGGGCCTGCTCCAGGCTCTGTGCTCAGGGATGACTCAACAGTGCTCAGGATACCAAATGTGGAGATCAAACTGGGATCAGCCTTATACAAGGCAAGTGTCTTCACCCCTGTGCTATCTCTCCAAGCCCTGGCCAGCTTCTTAAGAGTTTTCTTTCTTTTATTTGTTCTGTTGTTACTGTGTTTGGCATATCGAATACGTCACGGGGAGCTTGCCAGACTCTGCCGTGCGGGCGAGATACTCTCGGTAGCTTGCCGGGCTCTCCGAGAGGGGCGGAGGAATCGAACTCGGGTCGGCCATGTTGGCTGCGTGCAAGGCAAACGCCCTACTGATGTGCTATCGCTTGTTCTGCTTTTGGACCACAGTATTTTTTTCTTTTAGTCTTCTTCTTCTTTTTTTTAATCTGGTGGTGTACAAGGCAAGTACCTTCATCCCTACACTGTCTCTCTGACCCCAACTATATTCCTTCTGTCTGCATAATTTTGCTTTCCTTTACACATTTTCTCATATCACATTATGTATGTCTTTATTTTTATCGAATCATCGTGAGATACAGTTACATGATTGGGTTTTAGTCATACAATGTTCTAACACCCACCCTTCACCAGTGTACATTTCCCACCACCAATGTCCCCAGTGTTTCTCTTTCCACCCTCTTTCCCTCCAGTCTCTCCTTTTGGGCATTATGGTTTGCAATACAGGTGCTGAAAAGTTATCATGTATATCCTCTTACCTACTTTCAACATTCAGTTCTTGTCCAGAGTGATCATTTCCAACTTTCATTGTCATAGTGGTCCCTTCTCTATCCTAACTGCTTTTGGGCCACCCTTGATGCTCCTCAGAATTTACTCCTGCCTGGCTTTGTGCTCAGGAATCACTCCTGGAGGTGCTCTGGAGACCATATGTGATGCTGTAGATTGAACTGGATCAGCTGCTTGCAAGGCAAGTGCCTTAACCCATTTTATCTCTGTGCCCCTTAAGGAGAGTTTCTATGGAGGAGTGACTGGAGTCTTGGTGCCTTGGGCCTTGCTTAATGAATTTCACATTCATAATTGATTTGATAGGGGCCAGAGATAGTATTGCTGCAGGTAACTTAATGTGAAGTGGAAGGAAGGTAGTAGCCTTGAGAGTGAAGTTCACTGTTTTCCTCTTTAGCTGCCTCAGTCATTGGGGAAGTACCTAGGAGGGTTAGGACTGAACTGATAAATCCACCATAAGCACCTTTGTGGTGTATATCTTGTGTCTCACCAGCTTGGCAATCTTCACACTGCTTCTGAATCCCACTTGATCTTTGTGATGCAGGAATATTAATTCCTATGATCTGGTGATTTCTCTGGAAGCTGCAGCTGGAGTGAGGAATTGTGTTTTGTGGAAAGAAACCTAACCTCTTCATCTTCTTATCTTCTCTGCTTTGTTGCCTGCTCTTGAAAAAAAAAAGTTTCAGGGAGGATGCTGGTGAGATAGTACAGTGGTAGGGTGTTTGCCTTGCATGCACCTGACCTGGGTTTGATTCCTAGCATTGCATATAGCCCCATGGGCCCTGTCATGAGTGATCCAGGAGTGAGCCAGGAGTAAGTCCTGAGCAACACCTGGTGTGGCTCCTGTTATGCCCAGGTTCTGGGTTTCTCTTTCACAGAGAGACCAGTTCAACAAGTGAGAATGCAAAAGCAAAGGAACCTTTATTGCTAGCTCGAGATAGGGTCCAAGCTTCATCCTACACAGTGGAGTCTTTTTTTTTTTCTTTTCCATTTGGGTCACGCCTGGTGATGCACAGGGGCTATTCCTGGCTCTTCACTCAGAAATTATTCCTGGTGGTGCTTGGGGGACCATATGGGATGCTGGGAATCAAACCCGGGTTGGCTGCGTGCAAGGCAAACGGCCCTACCTGCTATCACTCCAGCCCCCGCAGTGAAGTCTTGACAAGGACCAGGACTCTAGTTCCAGGGAACGTTGTGTAGCATATGGTTACTTAGGAAAAGTTGGCACAGTTGTTGGTTACAGTTGATAGTTTTCCCAAGAATTGTGATGAAGCAGTAACAAGTCTGTGAGCTAATTGGTCACCCCACCTGCTGTGCCCAGAGATATCCTACTTACATCTGACTGGTTAGGAGTGTCTAGAGGATTTCTGCTTGGGCCTAGTTGGGGGAAACAGAAACTTAGGCCTACTGCTTGTTTTGCGAAGTGAAGCCTGTCAAGGCATATTTGAGATTCTTTCACTCCCTCACAACTCCCAGAACAAAACAAAACTTCAGGAAAGAAAAGAATGGCGAAATGAGTTTAATTTGGAAATATGATATGAGAGAATCAAAGTTAAGTGCTCACGTTTAAGACATGGAGTCCTTTTCCTGAGTGGAGAGAGCCAAGTACACATCCTAGCTAGAGCTATGTGCAACCCCCCTGCTGGAGAATGCATGCCAAAAAGTTTAAGGAAGAGAGTATATATCTCAGGGAGAGATGCAGGTGGGCCCCAGATTGGGGAAATATGCACCACTCTGCCTTTGTAAAGTTAGAGTTTTGTTTTGTTTTTTAAGTTTCCTCAAACTGTCTGCCAAAGTTTGTTGTTTGGGTATTGTCTAGTGGGGAGAACTTGGAACTATTAGTGGTTTTCTTTGATGTTTTAGCATGGGTTTTGTATTAGCTGTGGAACATCTCTTTCAGGTTTTCCAGCTGATATTCCAGGCCTGGAATCCTGCATTTTAAAGGCTTTTGGGCTCCTCAGATGGAGTGTGTTTCACAGGGACTTCCTGCCTTTGTACTTGTTTGATTTCAGCGTCTTTCCCAGTAAACATTACCAGATCCCGCTGCCTTCTGCCTGCAGTGGTGTAAGGCTCAGGGCCAGAGAGATAGTACAGTGGGTAGGGCACTTACCACTTACAGTGGGTAGGTTGACCAAGGTTAAATCCTTGGCATCCCACATGGTCCCTTGAGCACTGTCAGGAGTAATTACTGAGTGCAGAGTAAGGAATAAACCCTGAGCATTGCCAAATGGGACCCAAAAACCAAAATAATAACAATAATAAATGGTAAGACCCTTGTCTTGCATGTGTCAAACCCTGGTTCTACCTCCGGCGCTGTATATGGTCCCCTGAGCACAGCACAGGAATAAGCTCTGAGCACTGCAGGACTAATAGCCCTCAACAATAGCACCCCCCCTCCCAGGAAAAAAACCCAAACAGTTTATTGCATGAGTTGTTGAGTTGATGTATGTTATTTCTTTTCTTTCTTTCTTTTTTGATGTATGTTATTTCTGAAGCTGGGGTGAGAAAAGGTTGTTTTGGTCACTGTGGTATGAGATGGAATCAGGTGGGGTAGAAGAGTGAGGAACTACGGGACTGGGCAGGTCTGAGAGGAAACTGGGGAGTACTGGTGCTGCTGAGGTGTCCTGAGAGCTTCCCACCAGCATCCTTAATTACTTCGCATAGGGACTTGGAAAACTTTCCCTCTTGAAACTGACCTTCTTGGGAATTCTTGCTGATTCAAGAATTAAAAATGTGCTTTCTGACTATATGACTATATGTATGAAAATAACAATGGATCAGAATATCTTATTTATTTTTGTAGGGGGAGGGTCATATCCAGCGATGCTCAGGGGCCACACCTAGCTTTGTTGGGGGAAACATATGTGGTGCCAGGGTCATGACCATGGCTGCATGTTAGAAAAGTGCCTTAACTTTTTTTTTTTTTTTTGCTTTTTTGGGTCATACCCAGCGATGCTCAGGGGATACTCCTGGCTCTGCACTCAGGAATTACTCCTGGTGGTGCTCTGGGGACCATAAGGGATGCTGGGAATCAAACCCGGGTTGGCCGCGTGCAAGGCAAACACCCTACTTGCTGTGCTATCGCTCCAGCCCTGCACCTTAACCTTTCTTTAAAAACAAAAAGTTTTTATTCTTATTTTTTTAATTTAGGATTTTTTTTTTTTGTTTGTTTGTTTTGGTCACACCCGGCTGTGCTGAGGACTGACTCCTGGCTTTGCACTCAGGGATGACTCCTGGAGAAGCTCGGGGACCATATGGGATACCAGGGACCAAACCCATCTGCATGTAAGACAAGCACCCTACCCGCTGTACTATCACTCTGGTCCCTACATTTAATTTTTAAAAATTTAGTTACCATGAATTACCAAGTTATTTATGTTGAGGTTTCAGGCATACAGTGTCCCACCCAGCACCAGTCCCATCACCAGCATCACTCCCCTCCCCCAATGTCCCCAGGTCCCCTGCCTCTCCCTCCAAGCGCCTTAGCCTTTCTTTCTTTTATTTTATGATGAATTTATTCCCAGGCTATAAGATTTTGGTTCTTTAGTTTCTTAGGTGGTATATTTTAAATTTGATTTTTTTTTTGTTTGGTTTTTTTTTTGTCACACACAGCAATGCTCAGGGGTTCCTCCTGACTCTACATTCAGGAATTACTTTTGGCGGTGCTCAGGGGACCATATCAGATGCCAAGGATCAAATCCTGGTTGATTCACACTATCAGCTGTTTTATTTATTACTCAGACCCCTTAATTAATTTTTTTTTAATTGAATCACGATGAGATACACAGGCGCAAAGTTTCAGTCATACAATGTTCCAACAGCCGCCCTCCACCAGTGTACATTTTCCACCACCAATGTTCCCCGTGTTCCCACCCCCCTACTTCTGTGCAAGCTTCTCTTCAGGCTTGGGAACCATCTGCTCTTTTTCAGTAAGGCTCAACTCAGCGTGACAGGGAGAACTCAAGTAGGGGTTTAAGTGCTGTCACTCATCTTGGGTTGCTTTGTTTGCCTAGCTGTGCTCAAAGACCAGAGAATTTACATCTTAGCCCTTGGGCCCCTTAGCCTTTGTACTCTCTCTGGCTCCGAGAGATGGGCTGGAGCGATAGCACAGCGGGTAGGGCGTTCGCCTTACAAGCGGCCAACATGGCCAACCCGAGTTCGATTCCTCCGCCCCTCTCGGAGAGCCCGGCAAGCTACCGAGAGTATTCGATATGCCAGACACAGTAACAACAAAGTCTCCAATGGACACGTTACTGGGCCCGCTCGAGCAAATCGACGATCAACGGGAGGGCCTTTACTTTACTTACTTACTGGCTCCGAGAGAGTTTTGTCCTGTGGGAGACCATTTGGGAGCAGCGTCTCTGAACTCCTGTGTCTCGTGATATGCTGAAGGATCTGTTTGCCTTACTCTTCCAGTTTCACTTTCCTACCTAGTCTTTTTGTTGTTGCTATTGTAATGCTAGGGCTCTCTGACAAGGAGTGTGCTTTATCCCCTTGCCCCTGAGCCATATCCCTGGTGTTCCTTTCCTATTTATATATATATATATATATATATATCTTTCGGGGTGGCTTCTTTCCTTCTTTGTCTTCTTACTCTGCTGAGGGAGTATCAGGACTATATTAGTGATGGAGGAGCTGGATTCTCTGTCTCCTGCCATACTGAGGGATGGCACTGTTTCTTTCTCAAAGAATGTTAGGATGGTTAACCCAGAACTAACCCAGAACTCTTTACAAAAGCAAAAGATTAACTTTTTTTTTATTTTAATTGAATCACCGTGAGCAATACTTACAAAGCTTTCATGTTTGAGTTTCAGTCATACAATGATCGAACACCCATCCCTCCATCAGTGTACATTTTCCACAACCAATGTCTCCAGTATCCCCCCCCCCCCCATCCCACCCTTCCCCCTGCCTCTATGACAGACAATTTCCCCCATACTCCATACTTTTGGGTTTTATGGTTTGCAATACAGATAATGAGAGGCTATCGTGTTTGGTCCTTTATCTGCTTACAGCACACATCTCCCATCCCAAGCGATCCCTCCAACCATCATTGACTTAGTGATCCCTTCTCTATTCCAGCAGTCTTCCTGGAGTAGTATTCCTGGCTCTTGTGTCTACTGTCCTTGGGTATCAGTCTCATATTATGTTATTTTATGTACCACAAATGAGGGCAATCATTCTACGTCTGTTCCTCTCTTTCTGACTCATTTCATGTAGCATGATAATCTCCATGACCATTCACTTATAAACAAATTTTATGACTTCATCCTTCCTAATAGCTGCATAATATTTAAATTTGATTGTGCAAGCTTCTCTTATAAACAAATTTTATACCAAAGTTTCTTTATCCATTTGTCTGTTCTTGGGCACTCCGGTTGTTTCTAGATTCTGGCTGTTGTGAACAGTGCTGCAATGAATATGCAGATAGATGCAGGTGTCATTTCTACTGTGCTTTTTTGCACCCTCGGGGTATATTCCCAGAAGTGGTCATATGGCAGCTCAATTTCTAGTTTTTTAAGGAATGCCCATATTGTTTTCCAAAAAGGCTGTACCAGTTGGCATTCCCACCAACAATGAAAGAGAGTCCCTTTCTCCCCACATCTGTGCCAGTACTGGTTGTTCTTGTTCTTTTTGATGTATACCCAGTCAAAAGATCACCTCTTAATGCTCTTTAATTATAATTACTTCCATTCACGGTCCTCCCGTTATTCATCGATTTGCTAGAGTGGGCCCAGTAACGTCTCCATCGTGAGACTTGTTACTGTGTTTGGCATATTAAATACGTCACGGGTAGCTTGCCAGGCTTTGCCATGCGGGCGAGATACTCTCGGTAGCTTGCCAGGCTCTCCGAGAGGGGCGGAGGAATCGAACCTGGCTTGGCCAGGCTGGCTGCATGCAAGGCAAATGCCCTACCACTGTGCTATCGCTCCAGCCCATTACTTCCATTATTTTATGTAAATTAAGCTATAAGAGAAGGGAATGGATTTTAATTTTCATAGACCGCCATAGAAATTTAGGAGTTTCTTAAATTTTACAGTTTCACACTTTGCTGACATTCTTTTTTGCTGTCTCAAAAGTTAAAACTTAGGGACTGGAGCAATAGCACAGCATGTAGGACATATGTCTTGCACGCGGCTGACCTAGGTTCAATTCCCAGCATCCCATATGGTCCCCTAAGCACCGCAAGGAGTAATTCCTGAGTGCTTGAGCCAGGAGTAGCCCCTGTGCATTCACCGTGTGTGATCCAAAAACCAAAAAAAAAAAAAAAAAAGTTAAAACTTAGGGGAGTGGAGCAATCATACAGTGCTATTATTGCTTGGTGTACTTGCAGCCCATATAATTCCCTGAGCACCAAACACCATCACTAGTGATTCCTGAGTCCAGAGCCAGAAGTAACCCCTAAGAGCTGCTGGGTGTGTCCCAGACCACACCCCCACTTAAAAAAAAAACAGTTGAGGCTTAGGTAGTAGGTCAGATACTACTGCATCACTGTATCACTGTCATCCCGTTGTTCATCGATTTCCTCAAGCAGGCACCAGTAAGGTCTCTATCAGTCCTAGCCCTGAGATTTTAGCAAGTGCCACATCAGAGGCTCTTTCAGTGTCAGGGGAATGAGATCCATCATTGTTAATGGGTTTTGGCATATCGAATACACACCACAGGGAGCTTGCCAGACTCTGCTGTGCAGGCAGGTTACTCTCAGTAGCCTGTCGAGTTCTCTGAGAGCGAGAACTAGAGGTCTCGAGGCTGTGAATGCTACTGTATTTACACATAAACCTGGAATTGGGTTTGAGGAGATTGATACTAGGTGATACTGTGATTTTGTGTGTGTGTGTGTGTGTGTGTATGTGTGTGTGTGTGTGTAAGATGCAGGGGATAGAATCTATTACTTTCGGCCTTTGGTAAGATTAGAAAAATGTGGTGTCTTTCTTTTTACTCCACTGTAGGCTGTCTCAGTTACTGGTATGTTTTTGTCTCTCCCCTTAAAGGATTCCTATGCAGAGAAATGCGCCTCTTAAATCAACCCCAGCAATTCCACCATACAAAGAGCCCTGAAGGATATTAGCAGAAAAGGAGCAAATTAAACTCAAAGATCACCTGCAGCTCAGAGGAAAAAAAAAAAAAAGACAAACATGGAGTTTTGAGTCATGAGAGTAGCACAGTGTCGGCCATGGGTGATCAAGACACAGCCAGACCATGTGGATCAATTTCTTCAAACTACAGCTTTTCTGCTGTCTGCTTGCAGTGTTGATGGTCGTGGTGCTGGTTATCACTGTTACTCAGGTAGAGGTGAGTACTCAGCATATGCCTTTGCAACCAGTTCCTGGGACTTGAAGCTAACTTGGGAAACCAGGACACTTTTTTCATCACAGGCCTTGTCTTCATGTATGCAGTAAGTATTTGCATGTGAACCATGCTTACATCCCTTTCCACTGGAGAACATGACAGACATGATTTCTTTATTTTTTTTTTTTGCTTTTTGGGTCACACCTGGCGATGCTCAGGGGTTACTCCTGGCTCATGCACTCAGGAATTGCTCCTGGCGGTGCTCAGGGGACCATATGGGGTGCTGGGAATCGAACCTGTGTCGGTCATGTTGGCTGCGTTCAAGGCAAACGCCCTACCCGCTGTGCTATCACTCTGCCCTTCTCTGATGCTCACTGCTTTACCAGCAGAGCTCCTATTCTAAGTACATGGGGGAAAGGAATCATATATGATACTTTGAAATTGTGAAAAGTACTGTAAAGGAAGTGAGCTCTCAAGAATAGTTTTATTACTGAAAAAAAGTGCTGCTTCAACAGCACGTATATGCAAATTGGAATGATAAAAAATGGGCCTCCACCCAAGGATGGCATGCAAATGCATGAAGTGTTTCAAGTATTTTCTTAAAGGAACAGTTTTATTGAAATGAAACATTTAAGAAAATTTTAAAATTAATTTTTGGTGATTATTTAAAAATTATTGGTGCGTGTACTTTGCTGCTGAGTCATATTGCTGGGCCCCAAGAATAGCCTTTGTAAGGAAGCAAACTTTTAGCAAAACTCCTGGCAAAAAGCCGAAGGAGTATTTCAGGGCAGGGAACTGCTGCTGAATTTATTTTAAGGACACTCCGGGGTGTGGACTGTGTCTTATGAAACCCCTCACAAGTGCTTGGCACTAAGAAGGTCTTCAGTCTTCGTCTCTGCCCTTCTCTGATGCTCACTGCTTGAATTTATCACTAAAATTTACGAAGTAGTTTATATATAAATGATGCTGTCCTTTAAATGTTGTTGGCTTGTGATACTTCTCTAATTCCCTTTCCAATTTAGTTACGGCCTTTCTTTCTTGGTGGGCTTTGCTGTAAATTATATCCCTCAAGCATCCAGGTCCTGTGGGAGCTCATGTTACTGTTTCATGCCAACATTTCATGCCGTTCCCCCCACCTCCACCTCCCCATGCTGGGGACTGAGTTTAGAGCCCTGCTGCCAAGCTGCCTCCCTGGCCTCTTTCGGGCAGTTCCTTCCACAATCTCCCGTAGTTTTCTTTCACATAGGTGCTCTTTCGTACTTTGTTGACTCCTTAAGTGTGATCCTTGGTAGTTCTCTTGAGTTCCTTCTGTGCTATGTCTCTCCTCTGTTCCGTAGCGTCTGTTAATTTTAGTGTTTCAAACTCAGCTATATATCCTAAACCAAAGTAGTACACCAAACTCCACCTAGACCCTGCCCTGGATGCTGAAGCCTGGAGCACTCCCAAAGCTGTAAGCAAAGGACAATTTTAACATCACCTTATTCATTTCCTGGTTCTCAGGCATCACTGACTTTTGTTATATGATGTCTGGAGTCTGGGAAACTATTGCTTCATGTATTTTGGCCTTTTTTGGGGTTTTGTTTTGCTTTTGGACCATACCAGGCGTTGCTCAGGGCTTATTTCTGGCTCTGAGTTCAGGAATTATCCTGGTGGTACTCAGGGCACCGTATGGGATGCCGTGGATCCATCCCCAGTCAGCCACGTGCAAGGCAAGCGCCCTTCCCACTATATTATCATCATTCCAGCCCTTCATTGATTCTAGTTTTGGAGCACTTGAGATAAATCTCCCTTGATAATGTGTAATTATTTTGATATATTTTGACCCCCCCACTTGCTTGTATTTCATTGAATATTTTTACATCTGTGTTTATAAAATAAATTTGTCTATGGTTTTCTTGTAAGACCTTTGTCTGGCTTTGGTGTTGGTATTGGGGTTGGGATGGCTTCATAGACTAGGAAGGAGATTAGGGAGTAATCCTCAGCTTCTATAGTCTGTTTTTTGGGCAGGACATGGCCTGGGGTCACGCCTGACTGTGCTCAGGGGCTATTCCTAGCTCTGTGCTCAGGTGTGATTCCTGGTGATGCTTCAGTGAGTGAGACCATGTGTGCTATGCGGGATCTGAACTGGGATCAATGGGACGCAAGTGCCTTACCCCTTATACCGTCTCTTCTTTATTCTGACATATTGCAGGCAGTCAGTATAATTTCTTTAAATATTTCTTAAAATATTCTTTAAATATTCTTTAAATATTTCTCTAATTCACCTGTGAAACAGACCATAACTTGGTGGTTTTTGTTTTGGAAGCTTATTTTTATTTATTTATTTTTGCTTTTTGGGTCATACCCAGCAATGTTGAGGGGTTACTCCTGGTTCTGAACTCAGGAATTAGCACTGGCAGTGCTCAGGGGACCAGATGGGATGCCATCAATTAAGCCTAGGTCAGCCGTGTGCAAGGCAAATGCCCTACCCACTGTACTGTTGCTCTGGACCCTTAAAGCTTATTTTTCATTTATTTTTTTTCCAGGGCTGGAGTGATAGCACAGTGGTAGGGCGTTTGCCTTGCGCGCAGACAGCCTGGCCAAGCTGGGTTCGATTCCTCCACCCCTCTCAGAGAGCCTGGCAAGCTACTGAGCGTATATTCAATATGCCAAATACAGTAACAACAAGTCTCAAATGGAGACATTACTGGGCCCGCTCGAGGAAATCAATGAACAACGGGAGGACAGTGTATTTTTTTCCCATGGGTCAAACCCTGGCTGTGCCCAAGGCCTACTCCTGACTCTGCATGCAGAGATCACTCCTGGTGGACTCCGGCTGACATATGGGGTACTGGAGATTGAACCCAGGTCACCTGCATACAAGCCAGGTGCCCTACGTGCTGTATAATTGCTCTAGCCCCAATTCAGTTTTTTTCCCCCCCAAAGGTTTGTTCTTCCTTCCCCTCCCTATCCCCTCCCTCCGCCCCATGCCCCCAAAGTCTTTGTTTTGTTGTTAATTTCTGAGGCTGTGGGGCTAGCTGGAGGTAGACTTCCCATACTTTAGTTGCAGTGCTTTATTTAAATTTTTTTTGTTTGTTTTTATTGCACACCCATCAATGCTCAGGGTTTACTCCTGGCTCTGCACTCAGGTATTACTCCTGGCGATGCATGGAGGACCATATGATATGTTGGGGATCGAACTCAGGTTGGCTGCATGCAAGGCAAGCGCCCCACCTGCTGTATTATTGCTCCAGCCCTACTTGTAATGCTTTAAATGAAGTAATCTGTATACATATTTTGTTGTGGTGTATAGAAGATTGTGCACTTTATTTTGGTAGTAGAGATCCCAAAAGACTATTTGGTATATGTGGCAGTGCTGGGGATTGAATTCAAGCTTTATACCATATTTGTACGATAGGTGCTCTACCCAAGCCCTCGTAATTGAATATCCTTAATAAACATCGTGTTATTCACTTGAGCTATTTCTTCTTGTATGAGTTTTTGGCAGATTTTGTTTTCAAGGAAATTATTCCATTTCATCTCCGTTACCAATATGTGTGTGGAGAGTTATTATCCCTTGATTATCCATTTAATATCTATGTTTTGTAGTACTATCACATTTTGAATTTCTGATACTGATAATTTTTATCTCTTTTCGAAGCCTGGCTACTGCCTTAGTGCTCTTATCTTTGACAAACCAGCTTTTAGTTTTGTTGACTTTTCACTATTGAAGTCCTGTTTTCAACTTCTGTTTTCAACTTTATTGATTTCTGCTCTAACTTCTATTTTTTTTCTCCTTACTTTGAATGAGTGCTTTTCTTTTTTCCAGTTTCTGAAGATGGAAGTTTGAATGGTTGCTAATAGACCTTTTCCTTTCCTGATAATATGCATTCAGTGCCAAATTTCCCTCCATGCTCTGGCTTTCATTGCAGCCTACAGATTTTGACAAGTTTTGCTTTCACTTAACATAATTTCTTTGGGCCGGAGTGATAGGAGTGATAGCACAGTGGGTAGGGCATTTGCCTTGCATGCGGCTGACCTGGGTTCGATCCCCAGCATCCAATATGGTCCCCCAAGCACCGCCAGGAGTAATTCCTGAGTGCAGAGCCAGGAATAATCCCTGAGCATTGCTGGGTGTGACCCAAAAAGTTAAAAAAAATATATATATATGCATATATAATTTTTTTCTTTTTTTTGTGGGGGAGCATCCTAAGTGGTGCTCTGGAGACCAACGTCCCCACTGGTGATTTTCTGCCAGCTGAACACAGGTTTTACAAGGGTGCCAGGATGGGATGTTGGTTACGCCCTACTGTGCTGGTGACCTGGACCAGGGCCACACCTCGATTTGTTCAGGATGCTCAGAAACCATGTGGTGCCCCAAATTGAATCCGGTCTGGTGCATTGTAAGAGGATACCCTAACCCTGTACTGTCTCCCAGCCCCAGTTAGCTTACATTTTTGAAATGTTTATATTGATATTTATTTTTTGGTCATTTGTTATTTAGAAGTATGTTGCTTAATCTCTAGATGTTTTTGGGATTTCCCAGTTTTCTTTCTGTATTGATTTCTAGATTAGTTTTATTGCTATCGGAGAGCAGAAATCGCGGTAACATTTTGTGACATGTATACTAGCAATAAGTTCCCTTAGTTTTGTTTGTCTTTTAAAATATTTTCGTTTGAAGGGTAATTTCATAGGGTATAGAATTCTAAGATAGCAGATTATTTCTTTTTCTTTTGAACTTTTAAATATATCACATGTGGGGCTGGAGAGATTGCACAGAGGGTAGGGCATTTGCCTTGCATCGCCAGGTGTGACCCAAAAAGCAAAAGCAAAACCAAAACCAAAAACAAAATCACATGCTTCTCTGTTATGGTTTCTGAGGAGTTAAATGTAATTCCTACTTTTTTTTTTAAAAGTAGAGTAATTTTTGGAGCTGGAGCGATAGCACAGTGGGTAGGGTGTTTTCCTTGCACATGGCCGACCCAGGTTCGATTCCCAGCATCCCATATGGTCCTCCCAGCACCGCCAGAGTAATTCCTGAGTGCAGAGTCAGGAGTAACCCCTCTGCATTGCTGGATGTGACCCAAAAAGCAAAAAAAAAAAAAAAAAAAAAAAAGAGTAATTTTTACCTATTTTTCTCAAGAGTTTTGAAAAAATATGCATTACAAATTTTAAAAAATGTTTATGGTCTGTGATTTACCGTGCTGTTAATAGTCCAGGCATAAAATGTTACTCCACCTCACCCCCCGTCAAAGTGTCACTGTCCCTCCACTGCTGTTCCTTGGTTCCCCCCTTAAAACTCAGTTATCTTGGCCCACTCTAAGGTGTGTTGTAATTGGTGATTTTTTTTAGTCTTGTGTTATGTTTGTTTATACTCCACGTATAAGAAAGATCATTCTGTATTTGTCCCTTTCCCTTTAAGTCAATTAACTCAGCTTAATACCCTCCAGATCTATCCACATAGCAGCAAACTGTAGGATTTCAGTTTTTTTTTTTTATAGCAGAGTAGTGTTCATTATGTGTGTGTTTGTGTATGTCTCTGTGTGTGTGTGTTTGTGTGGTGACGTGTCTGTCTATCTGAATGCTTGTTTATCCACTTATCGGTTCTTAGACATTTGTTTTTTTCCCAAATTTTAGCTATTTCTGATAGTGCTATAGTGAACATATAGAGGAGTTATGAGATATCTCTTCAAATTGCCATTTTGTGGCTCTTGGGGTAGATGGCAAGAAATGAAATCACTGGGTCATAGGGAAGCGCAGTATTTTTTTTTTTTTTGCCACAACCTGTGATGCTCAGGACTTACTTCTGGGTCTGTGCTCAAGGATCACTCCTAACAGGTTAGGGGGGCCATATGGGATGCTTGGGATCAAACCCCAGTCAGTCGTGTGTAAGGCAAGCACTCTGCTTACTGTGCTATCCAGCCCCTAAATCATAGCTGTTTTAAATCGATCTCATTCTTACAATACCCTTGTATATCTGACTTTCTCTTTTAAAAAAATTATTAAATCACCATGAGATACAATTATAAAGCTTTCATGATTGAGTTTCAGTCATACAATGTTTGAACACCCATCCCTCCACTAATGTACATTTTCCACCACCAATGTTCCCAGTATCCCTCCCGCCATCCCCATCCCACCCCACCCCCTGCCTCTATGGCAGGCACTTTCTTACTCTCTCTCTACTTACGGCTATTACCGTTTGCAATACAGATTACAGATACTGAGAGGCCATCATGTTTGTTTGGTCCTTTGTCTATTTTCAGCACACATATCCCAGCCCGAGTGATCCTTCCAGCCATCATTGACTTAGTGATTCCTTCTCTGTCCCAGCTGCCTTCTTCCCCAGCTCATGAGGCAGGCTTCCAACCATGGACCAATTCCCCTGCCCCTTGTCTCTACTGTCCTTGGGTATTAGTCTCAAACTATGTTATTTTACATTCCACAAATGAGTCCAGTCTTTCTATGTCTGCCCCTCTCTTTTTGACTTATTTCACTTAGCAAGATATTCTCCATGTCCGTCCACTTATAAACATGTTTCATGAAATCATCTTTTTTAATAGCTGCATGGTGTTTCATTATGTAGATCTACATTGTTTCTTTAAGCAGTCATCTGTTCTCAGGCACTCGGGTTGTTACCAAATTTTGGCTATTATGAACAGTGTTGCAGTGAACATACAGGTGTAGTTATCATTTCTATTGTGCGTTTTTGCTCCAGGATATATTCCCAGAAGTGGTATTGCAGGGTCATCTGGAAGCTCAATTTCTCTTTTTTTTCAGGAAGGCTCATATTGTTTTCCAAAAAGACTGGACCAGTTGGCATTACCAGCAACAATGAATGCGAGGCCCTTTCTCCCTGCATCTGCACCAGAGCTGTTTGTTCTTGTTCTTTTGGATGTTTGCCAGTCTCTGTGATATAAGATGATATCTCATTGTTGTTTTGATTTATATCTCCCTGATGATCAGAAATGTAGAACATTTTTTTTCATGTGCCTTTTGGCCGTTTGTATTTCTTTTTGTGGAAGATTCTGTTTATTTCTGATACTTCTGTTCATTTCTGACTTTATTTCTGATACTTGTTATATGTTTTCGAATGCTGTTTTTTTTGGGGGGGGGGCATACTTAAAGATGTGATAGCACAGTGGTAGGGCATTTGCCTTGCATGTGGCCAGCGTGGCTGACCCAGGTTCGTTTCCTCTGCTCCTCTTGGAGAGCCTGGCAAGCTACCAAGAGTATCTTGCCCGCACGGCAAAGCCTGGCAAGCTCCCCGTGATGTATTCGATATGCCAAACACAGAACAACAAGTCTCACAATGGAGACGTTACTGGGCCCGCTCGAGCACATTGATGACCAACGGGAGGACAGTGCTACAGTGCTACTTAAAGATGCTCAGGTTCTACTCCTGGCTTCGTGCTTGGGGGTCGCTCCTGGTGGTGCTCAGGGGATCAGGATGTGCCAGGAATATAATTAATATTATAGTGAATATCTTCTGCAAGCAAAGCCTGCGCTCAACCTCTTGGGCTGACTTTCTGGTCCCTTAGTGTGTCTCGTAATGTCTTGTTGAAAGCAGGACAGGACGTGGCTTTTAGTAAAACGTGAAGTTAAAGCATTTTGGATCTACCCTTAAATCTCTGCCTTTAGTGAGCTGTACTTCTGGACTGTGAATGTAAAGTGTTTCTTAATTCTTCCCCAGCTCCTTACGTTGATCAGGATGATAGAGTGAATTAGGATGGATATAACCCTTGCTCAAGGCTTGTTAAACTCTGCTGCAACTGCAATAGGTTATGGCTGTGGTAAAACTGATTCTCTGGGGGCAGAGGCCTTGTTAATAAGAGTAGAGTTGTCTTGTGTATTTCACAAGAAGAGGAAAAATGTTCCTTTTTCTCTTTTCTCTTTCTGGAAGCCTTGGGGGGAATTTTCTTTCATATTCACTATAAAAACCTAGGTAAGCTTCTGTAGATAAATCTTATAAAAAGCATGATAATGCATGTCTTTATTCCTTATCATGATTTCACTGGATTATGATAAGATAGCCTTGGAAAATTAATGAGCTCTTTTTTAAAAAAAATTAAAAAAAATTTTTTTATTAAAATATTTTTATTAAAACACTCTGAGATAGACCCTTACAAAGCTGTTCATGATTAGGTTACAGTCATATAGTTTTCCAATATCTGTCCCTCCGCCAGTGTACATTTCCCAGCACCAGGGTCCTCAGTTTCCTTCCTATCACAACCCACCTCCCCTCACCCCCTGCCTGCCTCTGTGGAGGCGCTTTTCTTTTCTTCTCTCTCTCTCTCTCTCTCTCTCTCTCTCTCTCTCTCTCTCTCTATCTCTCTTTCTATTGGGCATTGTGGTTTGCAATACTGAAAGATTATTAGGATTATCCCTTTACCTACTGTCAACACTCAGTTCTTGTTCAACGTGATCATTTCCAGCTATTATTGTCAGACTGTTCCCTTCCCTATCTTTCCTACCCTCCACCCTGTGCACACTTGTGGTTGATTCCAAACATTGACCATAGTCCTCCTAGCCCCTGTTTTCCCTGGGTGAGGATGTTAGTCTTCTAATATATATATTTTTATATCCCACAAATGAGTGCAGTCATTCTATATCTGTCCCTCTCCTTCTGACTCATTTCACTCAGCATGATACTCTCCATGTCCATCCATTTATAGTAGTGAGCTCTCTCTCTCTCTCTCTCTCTCTTTCTTTTTTTAATCAACATTATTTTTTTACACAGATACAAAGCTGTTGATGGTTGGGTTTCAGTCATACAATGTTCCAGCACCCATCTCTCCACCAGTGCACATTTCTCACCACCAGTGTTCCCAGTTTTCCTCACCACCCCCCGCCAACAACATGCCTTTATGGGAAGCATCCTCCTCCTCCTCCTCCTCCTCCTCCTCCTCCTCCTCCTCCTCCTCCTCCTCCTCCTCCTCCTCTTCTTTCTTCTCTCTCTCTCTCTCTCTCTCTCTCTCTCTCTCTCTCATTTTGGATATTATGGTTTGCAGTACAAGTACTGAGAGGTTATCCTATTTATCCGTTTACCTACTTTCAGCACTTCTTATCCAGAGCGACCATTTCCAGCTATCATTTTCATCGTGGCCTCTTCTCTATCCCAACTGCCTTCTCTGGTTTCTGAAACGACATCGTCCTAAGTAGTTCAGTGAAAATTTAAACCGAAGCAGAGATGCATATGACCGAATCCAGGGTGATAGTAAACAGCTTTGTGTTCTGTTCTTTGTGCCTTTCTTTTTAGTACTTGGACCGTGAAACTATTTCAACCACATTCATCGACACGAGTGGCCAGTTCGTTTTCTCCCAGGTGACCGGACTCAGCCGGAACCCCTACTGTGGCTATGAGCAGCAGACACTGTCCAGCCAGGAGCGTTTGGAGGAGGACTCCTTGCTGGCCGCCTTGCAGTGGCAGCTGCCCAAGGTGGGCCCGGTTCCCTTTTTGCAGAGCACTGACCCTTCTTCCAGCTATTTTGTCATCTTGAACTCTGCCACCTTCTTCAAGGTGGGCAGCCAGCTGGAGGTGCTGGTCCACGTCCAGGATTTTCAAAGGAGACCCAAGAAGTATGGTGGCGACTACCTGCAGGCCAGAATCCACTCCCCGAAGCTGCAAGCTGGGGCCGTGGGCCGCGTGGTGGACTATCAGAACGGGTTTTACAAGGTCATTTTCACTTTGCTCTGGCCGGGCAAAGTTAAAGTGTCCATATCTTTGGTCCACCCCAGCGAAGGGATCCGAGTTCTTCAGCATCTCCAAGAAGAGAAACCAGACAGGGTATATTTTAAGAGTCTCTTCCGTTCAGGAAGAATCTCCGAGACGACTCGGTGCAATGTGTGTCTCCCCGGGGGGAAACCCCTGTGTAACTTTACAGATCTCTATTCTGGGGAACCTTGGTTCTGCTTTAAACCGGAGAAGCTCCCTTGCAGCAGCAGAATCAACCACTTCAAAGGCGGGTACCTGAAGGGGCTCCTGACTGCCGCAGAGAATGCATTCTTCCAGAGGTAGGTGCTGCATTGACTTGGTAGTTCTTTGCCACTAGCTGCATCCCATTTAAGATACTTTTTTCTTCCCATTTAGAAGATTCTTTGGGGCCTGGAGAGGTGGTACAGCAGCTAGAGAGCTCGCCTTGCATGTGGCAGACTCAGTTTGAGCCCATATGGTCCCATGAGAACCTCTAGGAGTAATGCCTGAGTGCAAAAACAGGAGTAATAAGGCCAGGAGAAACAGGAGGAATGGTCGATGGTTGGAAACTTGACAGAAGTGAAAACAAAACAAAACAAAACAAAACAAAACAGGAGTAAGCCCTGAATACCATGAGGTGTGGCCCAAGAACAACAAAACAAAAAGACTTTGTTTTGATTGTAAGACTCTTGTTTTGATTATATGCTTCTTATATCTCTCTGAATGTGACCCAATTCAGAAGAGGTGATAAATAAGAAGATAATTACAGATTTTAATTTTGAGATTAATAAAAAAAAGGCCCTCCCGTTGATCGTCGATTTGCTCGAGCGGGCCCAGTAACGTCTCCATTGGAGACTTTGTTGTTACTGTGTCTGGCATATCGAATACTCTCGGTAGCTTGCCGGGCTCTCCGAGAGGGGCAGAGGAATCGAACTCGAGTCGGCCATGTTGGCTGCGTGTAAGGCGAACGCCCTACCCGCTGTGCTATCGCGCCAGGGCTGGAGCGATAGCACAGCGGGTAGGGCGTTCGCCTTACAAGCGGCCAACATGGCCGACCCGAGTTCGATTCCTCCGCCCCTCTCGGAGAGCCCGGCAAGCTACCGAGAGTATTCGATATGCCAGACACAGTAACAACAAAGTCTCCAATGGAGACGTTACTGGGCCCGCTCGAGCAAATCGACGATCAACGGGAGGGCCTTTACCTTTACCTTTACCTTATAAAAAAAACCCACAAGAGGGAGAGCACAGGCTTGAAGAGCAAACTGAATTTATCACATTCTTGTGCACAAATTCCTTTTTTTTGGAATATAGATAATTTTTTTTATGTAGTGATCTAATGTGTGGAATGATGTGCAGAATGGAACGTTAAAAATGTTCATTTTCTTGGGGCTGGAGCAATAGCACAGTGGGGAGGGCGTTTGCCTTGCACGCGGCCGACCCAGGTTCGATTCCCAGCATTCCATATGGTCCCCTGAGCACCATCAGGAGTAATTCCTGAGTGCATGAGCCAGGAGTAGGCCCTGTGCATCGCCGGGTGTGACCCGACAACAAAACAAAACAAAATGTTTATTTTCTTGACCAGTCTATAGAATGGAAGGGTGGCCAGAGAGATGGCATAGTGGGTGAAGCACTATGTCCTGCATGCGTCTAGCCTGGCTTCAACCCCTGGCACCCCATATGGTCCCCAGAGCCCCAGAATGATCCTGAGCCAGGAGCAAGCCTAGAGCACAGGTGGGTGTGACCCAGAAACAAAACAAAAATGTAAAATGACATCCTAGGAAGTAACAAGTTAATGGGCGAGAGAGATAGTACAGCAGGTTGCCTTCCATGTGGCCGATCCGTATTCAGTCCCTTGCACTGCATATGGTCCTCTGAGCACCACCAGGAGTGACCCCTGAGCAGGAGTAAGCAGTGTACCCCATCAGATATGGCCCCAAACAAAACAAACAAAACCGGGGCTGGAGCGATAGCACCAGGGCATTTACACCAGAGGGTAGGGCGTTTGTCTTGCATGTGGCTGACCCAGGTTCAATTCCCAGCATCCCATATGGTCCCCCGAACATCACCAGGAGTGATTCCTGAATGCAGAGCCAGGAGTAACCCCTGTGCATCGCTGGGTCTGACCCCCCAAAACAAAAACAAACAAACAAAACAAAAAAATAGTTCTAATTATTACCTTGTCAAAAAAAGTACAATTAGGCTGGAGAGATAGCATAGGGATGAAGGTGCTTACCTGGCATGTCGCCAATCCCTGGCAATGTAGAGTTCCCTGAGCATAATTGCTAGTGACTCCTGACAGCTTTGAGAATCTCCAGAGCATTGCTGAGTCTGGCCTAACTCTGCCCACCTCCAAATGCAATTATTTGAAAGAATTGAAAATTGTGTGGATTGGAGCGATAGTACAGTGGGTAAGACACTTGCCTTTCATGTGGCAGACCTGGGTTCAATCCCCAGCACCCCATATGGTTTCCCGAGCACCATCAGGAGTAATTCCTGAGTGCGGAGCCAGGAGTAACCCCTGAGCATCACCGAGAGTAGCCACAAAACAAAACAAGAAAAATATGTGGTGCCAGGGATCTAACCTGGGTTGGCTATGTGCAAGGCAAGGGCATTATCTGCTGTGCTCTCTCTTCAGCCCTAGTTTTAATATTTTCAAATGTTCATTTTTTTTCAGTAAGTCATCATTATTAACAAAACTGTTCATATTGAAGTTTCAGGTGTGTGAGCTTCCAGTATCAATCCCACACCACCAGTGTCAACTTTTCTCCACCAATGTCCTCAGATTCCCTTTTACCACCCCTCTCCCCCCAGCCTGCTCCTGAACAGGCAAGAAAAATTATTTTTATCTTTAAGTGATGTGGGTCACACTCAGAGATGCTCAGGGCTTACTCCTGACTCTTCATTAAGGAAGATTTTTCAAGGGGACATACGGAATGCCAGAGATAGAACCCCGGCCGGCCATGCAAGGCCTTACTCGCTGTATTATCTCTCTGGCCCACCTTAAGCTTATTTTTAAATAAATGTCTATTTATTACTAAGTGGAGAAAAATTTTCTGCCATAAGTTATCTACTTTATGGGAGCGCCTCAAATAAAATCTTATGATTTGATGATCCACCTTTGGAGTCAACTTTCAGAAATAACGCTTTGACGAACTCATGTCATACTTTTTGAAAACCAGCAGAGGGAGCCAATGACTCACTATTCTCTGTACTTTTTTTTTTTTTTTTGTGATGGTGGTGGGGGTGGTGGGGGCGTGCTCAGCCTGGCTGTGCTTGGGTTCTGTTCTTGGTGGCCTCTCCTGTGGTACTTGAGAGACCAGATGGTGCTGGGCGGAACCCAGGCCTCCTACGTGCAAAGCACGCTGCAACATTTCGAGTTATCTCCCTGGTCGTTTACTTGCAATCCTCGCTTCAGATCTCAAGCAAGCTTTATTTATAAATGACTGAGAGCAGATTATTTCAGTGCTGTGTGCTGTTCAAGCCTATGTACAGCGACTGCTCAGTTACTCCCACTGAGAGGTGGGTTGTTAGTTAATTAGTAGCCTAGAGAAGAGGAGGAAGTATAGCTTTGTAATTTACTCAGATTCTAAGGGGGGGTTGGAAATGGGAGAAAGGTTAGAGAATTAAATTCACAAGAAAATTAGAAAAATTTAAAACATTTTCTAGGAACAATTGTACCATTAATTTTTTTTTGGGTCACACCTGGTGATGCACAGGGGTTACTCCTGGTTCTGCACTCAGGAATTACTCCCGGCGGTGCCCAGGGGACCATATGGGATGCTGGGGATCGAACCTGGGTCGGCCGCATGCAAGGCAAACGCCCTACCCACTGTGCTATCACTCCAGTCCCCTTACCATTAAAATTTAAAAACAAAACAAAAACTATGAATCCAGAGAATAAAATAATTTCTGTCCTTCTTCTTACTTGAATATCCTGATGATGGTGCTTTGTAACAGAAACATAAAAAACTACTACTTATTTGGAAGTTTGCTGGGAAAACAGGGTTAGAGTTCACATTTTTTTTTAATTCTTTCAGATTTTGTTTTTTTTTAATTTTTAATAGTGAGACATCATGAGGTACAGTTGCAGACTTACACATTTTTGTGCTTGGGTTTCGATTATACAATGATCAAATACCCATCCCTCCACCAGTGCCCATTTCCCACCACCACGGATCCCAGTATGCCTCCCACCCCCCACATTTTTTTTTTAAGAGTTCAAGCATTTGACATTTGATCAGTATCTCGATTCTGATTTTATGTTTTTGCATCATTTACTCTATTAAAATTCTGAAGGTTTTCACCAGCCCAACTGAAAAGAAAAAGGCAAAAGATTCTCTGTATACTTATTTTATTTGTTTTCTAATTATTATTTTGTTGTGGGCCATACCCATGTGCCTAGGGCTTACTCCTGACTCTGCTCCAGCAAGTGCCTTCTGTGCTGTGCTATGTCTGTTTTTTTTTTTTTGCCACACCCAGTGCTGGTGGTGGGGATTGGAACATAGAGGGAGACTCCCTCTGGTATTCCATGGGGAAGGGGGGAGCAGAGACATGTGAGTTCCAGCTCTTCATAGGCATATTATTTAGAACTCAAAGCCTAAATATGTTAGAAAATTAAACTTAGAACCCTTTTCTCCCCTTCCTTCCTTGGTGGCTCATAGAGTTGCTTAATTTAGAAATTGATCTTGAATTAATTGATCTTGAGTTAATGTAGCACTGTAATGCTGTAGCACTGTCCTCTCATTGTTCATCCATTTGCTCCAGCGGGCACCAGTAACGTCTCCATTGTGAGCCTTGTTGTTACTGTTTTTGGCATATCGAATATACCGTGGGGAGCTTGCCAGGCTCTGCTGTGCGGGCGGAATATTGTCGGTAGCTTGCTGGGCTAATGTCCTACCTGCTGTGATATCAATTTTTTAAATATTTTTTTCTAATTTTCTTGACCCCAAAACTAAATTGATTTAGTCTTCGCCTTGAGTTCCCTAAATGACAAAGCAAACTGATCTTTATTCCTTCCCTTTTTTTTTTCTTGCTTTTTGGGTCACACCCGGCAATGCACAGGGGTCACTCCTGGCTCTGCACTCAGGAATTATCCCTGGCGGTGCTCAGGGGACCATATGGGATGCTGGGGATCAAACCTGGGTCGGCCGTGTGCAAGGCAACCACCCTACCCGCTGTGCTATCGCTCCAGCCCCTTTCTTGTATTTTTAAATAGGAGCTATTCCTGGTGATGCTTGGCTCATCAGTTCTGGGTCTCTAGTGTGGCAGGTCGTAAAGGTGCTTGAAGATCACCGGGACCATACCCAGCAATGCCATGCAAGGGATTGAACGCAAAACCTTGCACACACTAGGGTCATGCTCTGCCATTTGAACTATTCTCCAGTTTGTTCCTTATTTATTATTCTTCGGTAGGGGGAACACACATGGGCTGGACCGATAGCACAGCGGGTAGGGCGTTTGCCTTGCAAGCGTCTAACATGGCCAACCTGAGTTCGATTCCTCTGCCTCTCTCAGAGAGCCCGGCAAGCTACCGAGAGTATCTCGCCCGCTCGGCAGAGCCTGGCAAGCTACCCGTGATGTATTCAATATGCCAAACACAATAACAAATCTCATGATGGAGATGTTACTGGGGCCGCTCGAGAAAATGATGAACAACGAGAGGACAGTGACAGTGACAGGGAGAGCACCTGGCAGTGCTCAGGGCTTTTTCCTGGCTCTGTGCTCAGAGATCACTTCTGGCAGGGCTTGGGGGAGATAAGGGGAGCCCTGGAGTGAAGCTGGATCGGGCGTGTACAAAGCAAGCACCTTCACCCACTGAGCAATCTCTCTTCCCTCTCTTTATTTTAATTTCAAAAGAGTTTTTGGTTGGTTTAGGGGCCATGCTCAGCTGGGTTCAGGGTTTACTCCTTACTCGATGAGATTAAGCTTGGGTAGTTGTGTGTAAGCCAAGTTCCCTTACACTTGGTTTCTCTTGGGCTATCTCTCTGGCTTTATTCTTTACAGGTAAGGAAAAAACAAATGTGGGTTTTTGTTTTGGGGCCAGACTCAGTGGTGCTATGGGCTTATTCTGGCTCTGAGTTTACGGATCACTCCTGGCAGGCTCAGGGGACCATATGGGTGCTGGGAATTGAACCCAGGTCTGTGGTCTGCAAAATAAACACCCTGCCCACTGCACTTTCTTTCTAGACCTCAGAAAGAACAACAGTACTTTGCTTACAAACTCCTGTTACTATAAGGGAAGGCCTCTTGAAAGAATGAACTTATCCCATGAATAACTTACCTCTTATTTTAGAATTATTTATATACTTTTCCTTCTAGCTTTGCATTACAAAAAAATCTTCAAGCTTGGTCTGGAGATGTGGCTCTGTGAGAGTATTTGCCTCACATGTGTGAAGTTCTGGGTTTAGTCCTTGGCACCACAGAATATAACAAAGCAAAAACAACATAAACTTTAAATCTTTAGAAACATTTGATGAATAACAATGAGCATATCTTTAGTGGAGATTCACAAATGTTAGTGATTTTGCGCTAGGTATATTTGCTTTCTCTCTGTATATGTATCTGTATGTGTGTCTCTTTGTAACTTCGTGGTACAGCATCCCAAGAGAAAGAATCTCCTTGGAACATGGACTTCCAGTAACATATAGCTATCATGCAATTATCACACTTGGGACATTTATCGTTGATAAATGTGCTAAGAAAATAGATGAATAAGGCACTCCGTGACTTCAAGGAGTATATGTTTTAGTAAGGAGAATAGATACTACAGAGACATAGTAATGATGAACAGGTGTCCTGTGTAAGACCTACCTTACCTCAGGGCAAGGTTAAAAACTTGTGGTCTGACAACTAGGAAGTAATAAAATAGACATTCTCATCGCAATGGGCCATTCTTTGAGTCCAAAGGGAGTAAGTAATATGAAAAAAAGTTTATAATTTAGCAGCGAAAAAAATTAGGAACCTATTTAATTCTTGTTCAGTTTATATATCCATGGAATCTCCTTTTTGGATAATCTTTTTATGAAAGCTTAATTAATTTGTGCTGACTAGCATTTATAAGACTTTTTCTTAGTAAGGTCCTGTGGAATTATACTCATATCTAATTTTCAAATAAACATGCATAATAGAAAATAAATGTTCCTAAGTCTAAGATTGTGCTCTTTTTATTCCTCATAAAGTGGTATCAATATCAAAATGCCAATCAACTCCAGTGGACCAGATTGGGTGACTGTAATTCCCAAGAGAATAAAAGGTAAAAAAAGGAATGAGCTTGATTATTTATTCTCTTCTTTCTTTCTTTCTTTCTTTCTTTCTTTCTTTCTTTCTTTCTTTCTTTCTTTCTTTCTCTCTCCCTCCCTCCCTCCCTCCCTCCCTCCCTCCCTTCCTTCCTTCCTTCCTTCCTTCCTTCCTTCCTTCCTTCCTTCCTTCCTTCCCCGAATGGGTTTAGGCCTGAGTTTGGTTGGTGTTGCAAAAACCTTTTCCCCCCCCCTTTCATAAGCCATGGTTATTTCTGGATACAATTGAAAATTTGAAAAGAGATGTGTGTATGAAATGTCAGACCTTATGTATTTAGTTCTGGGTTTTTCTGTTTATGCTCATGTAAGAGTTGTCTTCTACCTGCACTGTCCCATCTGCTTGGATCCTAAAGGTGTCTTTAGAGCTATGCTGTCCTGTTTTATAGCTATATGTGGGTAAAATTTAACACAATTACAAAGTAAATCATTTTCTCAGACGTGCTCAATATCTATGTGGCTACGGCCTACTATGTTGAATAGTATTTTGTGTAGAATATATCCACCATTATTGAAAGTTCTGTTGGATATCTGTGTTCTAGAGATATTCAAGGAATGTGTATAAAAGTTGGTCATGGAAATGTTTTATTATTACTGTTATTGTTATTATTATATTTAATTTTTGGGTGGTGCTTGGGAATCACTCCTGGTGGGGCTTCAGGGACCATATGGGGTGCCTAGATTGAACTCCTGTTGGCTATGTGCAAGGCAAGTGCCCTTTTCCTGTACTATTAGCTCATGTTTTTTATTTTTTCTTTTTGCATCACACCTGGCGATGCACAGGGGTCACTCCTGGCTCTGCACTCAGGAGTTACTCCTAGTGGTGCTCGGGGGACCATATCTCTGTTCCTATATATATTTACTATAGAGACCGATGAATCTGATGGGATAAAACTTCCACAATTCAATGATACGACAAATTTGACTCAAAAAAAAAAAACCTAAAAGGTGATTTTCCTGGGTAGATTGGACCTAATCAGACAGTTCCTTAACAGGAACCAGTTGCTTTCTGAAGAAATGGAAAGTGTGAGAAGGGTTCCCTGTGAGGGAGATCCTTTTTTTTGGTGGCTTTGAAGATGATGATACTTTTTTTTGGAGGCTTTGAAGAGTGGGTCACTCACATGCAAGAATGTTGGCAGCCTCTAAGAACTGAAGGATATTTTCTGGTTGATAGCCAGCAAAGAAAAGAAAGACTTCTTACAACCAGAGGGAACTGAATTTGACCTACGTCTTGACTGAGTGGAAACATGTTCATCTCCAGAGCACTCAGAAGGACTTGTTCATAACCCCAGTTTCAGCTAATGAGACCCAGGGCTGAGAACTTGGCTGTACCGTGCCCTGCATTCAGAATTCAGGACGTGTAGATCTATACCTATGGAACAACAAATGTCTCTTGTTTTTAGGCCACTCAATTTGTAGTGGTTCATTACAGAGACATAGAAAACTCATAAAATTTGCTGTTTAGAGACCATTCAGACCAAGATACAGACTATTTTATAGCGATAGGATATTTTCAGTATCACGATCACGATCACGACCATCCTGTTGTTTGTCGATTGCCTCAAGCAGGCCCCAGTAACGTCTCCTTCGTTATAGCCCAGAGATTTTTATAAAGTGCTGTATTCAAGGTTCTTTCAGGGTTAGGAGAATGAGACCCATCATTGTTACTGGTATTTGGCATATTCGGTACGCCACGGGGAGTTTGCCAGACTCTGCCGTGTAGGCAGGTTACATTCGGTAGCCTGCCAGTTTGTCCAAAGTAGGGATGAGATAATAAGATGTCACGCGGCCACAATTTTGGCAGCGCGCTTCCAGGAGCTGGGTTTTATAGTCTCTGAGTCTTGGCCGTTGTTGGGATTACATGGCACCAGGGGGCCAGTTGGTGGGTGTGACCCCTGCCTAATGGAATTTGGAGGATCTGGGTGGAGGATGCTCAGCCCCGATCCGAGCAGGCTTGGAGATCTCAGCCCCGGGACCCACATGCCTTTGTTCCTCTGCCTGTACCTTCATGCGTGTGGAGTGGTCTCAGCATGGTGGTGGCTGGTTCTGGAGGTCTTCAGCTGTTGGAGCCCTGGTTGGGGCGGGGAGGGAAACTCAACCCGCTCCTCTCCAAGGGGCCCCGGTGAGGACGGCCAGGCGCGTGGGCAGGAGACTCTGCACTGTTCTCTTCCGGGAGCTGGGTTTTATTTTCAGTATAGCCCTTTACTATTAAAAAGTGGTTTCAGTGGTTGGAGCTATAGCACAGCAGGTAGGGTGTTTGCCTTGCACGCGGCAGACCTGGGTTCAATTCCCAGCATCTCAAGCACTGCCAGGAGCAATTCTTGAGTGCAAAGCCAGGAATAACCCTTGTGCATCACTGGGTGTGACCCAAAAAGCCAAAAAAAAAAAAAAGTGGTTTCACACTCATACGTGAATCTTCACAACAACTTTTTTTTTTTTGCATTTTGGGTCACACCTGGAGTTCCTCAGAGGTTACTGGCTCTGCACTCAGGAATCACTCCTGGTGGTGCTCAGGGGACCATATAGGATGCTGGCGATTGAACCTGGGTTGGCTGTGTGCAAGGCAAACGCCCTACCTGCTGTGCTGTCACTTGGGTCCACAACAACTCTCTGAAAGGACTAGTAATTTACCTCTTTTGATGATCCAAGGTTCAGAGATTCATTTATTCAGTTGTCAGTTTGTTTTTGTCTTTTTTTTTCCTTTGGCGTCATACTTAGTGGTCCTCAGGAGACCATGCACCCTCAGTAGGAGCATTTAGTGCTGGGGATTGAACACTGGCCTCCCTCATGTGGTGCATGTGTCCCAAGCTTTTGAACTCTCTCCTTAGCTCGTGCCCATTATATTTATAGCCTCCTCTAACACCTGCTGCTAAATAGAGGCGTTGAATTCAGCACCTGCTGAAGATAAAGGTATTTAATATGACAGAAGTCTCTGGCTGTAACCAGAACTCAGGTCAGCAGGGGTCCGCATTGCCTGTGCATGACCCTGGCTTTGAGCCCCCCGCACCTTCTGTTCCATTGAGTGCTGCCATGGCGGCTCTGGTGACACAGGACATTGCTAGATTGAGCATTAGGTGACTCAGTATGACCAGGATGCCTCTCCCTCCCCCCCAATGCCCCAGAGCCATGGATACTGCTTGGGAGACCTCCCACGCCCCCCAAAAAGTTCAGATGGGAATCTAAGCCATAGCTGAGGTCTTAGAGGTAGGGGTCAGACATTAATCAAGTTATTTACCCTTTTTCTGTTACTCTTTTCCCTGTTTGGTGTTTCTGCCTCTGTGTGTTTGGTTGGTCTGTAGTAGTGGGATTTATCTGTTCTCAAGTATCCAGCTATATCCCAATGCATTCAGAGGACCATTATTGTTTCAGGCTGTACAGTGAAGATTAAATTGGTCCTTTGTAGATGAGATCTGGTGTTTCCTTCTAGAAAATGAAAGAATTGAAAAGGAGAGATGCGGTCGTAATCGCAGCTATTTACTTTTTTCTTTGATTTTTACGTATTTGTTTTTCGGGGGGCACCCCCAGCAGTCTTCAGGGCCTACTCCTGGCTCTGCACTCAGGGATCACCACTTTTGAAGTTTGGGGGTCCCTACGAGGTGAAGGAGATTGAACCCAGCTCTCATGTGTGCAAGGCAAGCACCATAACCCGCTGTACTATCTTTCTGACCCCCTATTTAAAGCTATTTCAAGACAATTATTTTCCACTTGTGAGAAATATAATTTTTTTTTTTTTTTGCTTTTTGGGTCCTACGTAGCGATGCTCAGGGATTACTCCTGGCTTTGCACTCAGGAATTACTCCTGGCGGTGCTTGAGGGACCATATGATATGGGATGTCAGGACTCGAACCCAGGTCAGCCGCATGCAAGGCAAGCACCCTACCTGCTGTCCTGTCATTCTGGCCCCGACAAATATACTTTGATACTGAATACATTTTATTTAGTTAACTTAGAAAATCAAAGGACATGTAGCTTACATAATGTAGCTTACTGATATTTGGGGGAAGGAAGTCTACTCTCAAAGCTGTCTCAGTAATGAGGTTCACTCTTCGCAAAACAGTGCTCTCTGCATCGCTCCTCCTGATACATTTTGTCAAGTTACCGACTTGTTTTGTTCCGCTCTCACCATTTAGTTTTCAACATTCTCTGTATCTACAGATATTTCCGTGCTCTATTAAATTATTTATGTGTATGGGATGAAATTATGAAGAAAACAATCAGCTTTTCATGGTTTTATGAGGGCAAATTCAAGGCAACATTCAAACTCAAGTCACTTTGGTTACTGTGTTGTATTCCCAGCACTTGACAAGTTGGCCTCAGTTGACATGGATTATGTATCATTCCTTGTTCTCCCGCTAGATGGCGCCCCAGCATTCTTTTGCTAATCGAATAGGGAATTTACTCCATTTCTTTTTTGTTTTGTCTTTTCTTCTCCTTTTCCTTTTCCTTCTCCTTTTCCTTTTTCTCCTTCTCCTTTTTCTCCTCCTCCTCTTCCTTCTCCTCCATTTATTCAGCCATTGACTAAGCTGATTGAATTGAGCATGAACTCCACTTTTGTTTTCTTCTTATGAACCAGGTACTCTTTTATTTCTTTTATTTTTATTTTCCTTGATTTGTTTTTGGGCCACGCCCAGTGATGCTTAGGGGTTACTCCTGGCTCTGAACTTAGGAATTACTCCTGGTGGTGCTTGGGGGACCAAATGGAATGCGAGGGATCGAACCCAGGTCGGCTGCCTGCAAGCAAGTGCCCTGCCCATTATACTATCGCTCTGGCTCTGTCTTTTATTTATTTAGTTTTTAATTCTACTTGCAATTCTTTATCATAAAAGTAGAGGACTTAAATTCATAAGTACATATAATTCCCTCCCTAACTCATTCTACATCCCTCTTGCCCAGTTTTTTTTAGGTTGTCGAGGGAAATTAATTTCTTTGCTCTTTTCTTCTCATTTGGTCCCATTTGTGGCCCAAAGTAACCTTCCTTATGGTTAATGAGTGACATAGCATGTTGTCCTTTGGGCCTTTCAGAGAAGCCAAGATTTTTGAAAAGTCCTAACCTTACTTTTGAAAAGTTCTAACCTAACCTTCTGATTTAGCATGAAGATTTTTATATCTGCCTTTTATAACTACTTCTGTGTAAACCTTTTTCTTTCCCATCAATATTGATACCTATACAGTTGAGTGATAATTCATTTTTTCCTTCATTATATTTATTCTAAGTATATATTAGGGGTGGTAGATTGATGAACAACGGGATGACAGTGCTACAATGCTACAGTATCAGTGTAAGAGACTTTCATATCTCAGTTATCTTGCATGGAAATGCAGTAAGTTCCCAGCACCGCTGACTTAATTTTCCTTGTTGGTCTGTTGAGGTGGAGTGACTCCTGATGTCATGTGACTTATGCAGCTTTGAGGATAGAACCCCAGGGCGCTGGCAGGCAAAATATGTGGTCAGCTCCCTAAGCAGTCTCAAAATGCTGACTTTTTTTTTTTTTTCCTTTTTGGGTCACACCCGGCGAAGCACAGGGGTTACTCCTGGCTCTGCACTCAGGAATCACTCCTGGTGGTGCTCAGGGGACCATATGGGATGCTGGGAATCAATCCCGAGTTGAACACATGCACCGCAAATGCCCTACCTGCTGTGCTATTGCTTCAGCCCCTCAAAATGCTGGCTTTAAAGGAATTTAGGATTACTTAGAAGCAGATTAAAATATTAAAATAGTCAGCAAATATTTTTGTCCCAGCTGACCATCAGAGGGCAATGTAGGCTCACACATTTCACATATAAAAATAAATTTTGTTATCTAGTGTTGCGTGTTAAAAAAAATAATGTCAGGTTTAGTAATTGATTTGCTTTGCTTGACTTAACTCTGGTAGTAAATATAATTAACATCTGAATGAAAATGGTAATTGTTTTCTCTGCGATATACAGTTTTCTTTATGACATGTATTTGACACAGAATAGTTGCATCTACTGAATTAACCATGGGAAAAAGAAATGTAACTTCAAAATCAATTTTGGATTCCCATTCCAGTAAACGCTCTGGCTTTTGTTGGTTCCAGGAATTTCACTCACACGGGAGGCCTATGTTCTGACAATGAGCCACTTCTCTGCCCAGCCAACAAATGCGTTTTTCAGGACCTATGTACCTGCGCTGGTACTTTCTGGCCCGTGCAAGCTTGATGAACTGATAAAACGGGGGAAACTCTGAGCCAGGTGTTGTAACATGTTGGGCATTTGTTTTCAAATAAGCCAAATAAATAGTATCCTGCCCTGGCTTTACCTCTGTTTTGATAATCACATTGCCTAATAAAGCTTTTAAAAAAAATGCTTTTTTTGCTTTTCAGTCTGAACTCTGATCCTAAAAAGAATTAGCAGATACCTAAGAAAAAACATCAGTTATACATTATTACCCAAATGTGGGGCGTTTTTAAAATATAGAGAAGTAGGACTTATAGCATTTGCCTTACATATGACTGACCTTGGGTAGATTCTCACCACCCTCCCTCTAGGGACCCCTGAGCACAGAGCGAGGAGAAAGTCCTAAGCAACACTGGTGTGGCCCAGTTCACACCACACAGTTCACCCACCCTCCACAAAAAAAAGGGAATTGAACAAGATAACATTGAATAATGTAAGTGATGTAAGGAAAGTAAATGTAAAATAGACTCAGGGGTGAGGGGGGTTCCATGTAAATTTAAGTTTGTGGCCTCACAGTATTTGAATTTCAACAGTGGTTTATTAGGTCAGGCTATAGAATTATGGATTATGATCATGGTCATAAAATTTTGGAAATTGATATAAAAGAACTTGTGCCCCACCTCCTTTTTGAAAATAAGGTTAGAGATTGGAATGAATGTTAGAATCGAAGAAGAATGTGTCTGCAGGAAAGAGGAAAAACAAGATAATGGCTGACATTGATAAACATCTGCTTTTGAGAGACAAAAGCAAGGTAAAAGCCTGGTGAAGAGTCTGTGAAGAGCAAGTGAGCTCACCTGCCTGGATCAGGGCCCAGTTTTGCAACTTACTAACTCTGGGACCTTGATCAAATCTTTATAAGGGACAGGGATCGGAGCAGGACCTACCTTGCCGTGCTATCATGAGCAACTAGATGTATGAGAGCAAACATCTAGTTGCTCAGATAAATGTCTGGTAGGCTTCCAAGGCAGAGTAACCATCTCTGTTGCTAAGCATGGAAAGCACATTGTTGCCACATTTTTCCAGGGGAGCTGTTAGGGCAAAAGATTTTGACTTGCCTCTGAAAGGTATCCAGGTGCTTGTGTTATCATGTGTAACTAGGCTACAGCTGTGAGATCACATTGCTGATGCATTTTAATATTGTTTGTTAGACTTAAAGACCTTCTGACCTGTATTGTGGGAAATACTTTTTAAGATTGCAAGTCGTTGGTTTGCTGCCTGAATTAAGTGTTTTTTTTTTTTCCCTTTAAATAATATCTAATGGTAGGACCCACAGGTTAAAACCTCCCTGAGAAATAGTAGACTAGGGGCCCTGAGCAATAGTACAGCGGGTAGGGCGTTTGTCTTGCATGTGGCCAACCCGGGTTCGATTCCCAGCATCCCATATGGTCCCCTGAGCACCGCCAGGGCTAAATCCTGAGTGCAGAGCCAGGAGTAACCCCTGTGCATCTCCAGGTATGACCCAAAAGGCAAGAAATAAATAAATAAATAAATAAATAGTAGACGAATATAATTCTTTATATGTAAAACATGAATTTCGATTGTTTCTTGTGTCACTGTATTTGGAGGAGAATCTGTTCTCCTGTTCTGGAACTGTGCTTATGTTTGCACATGTCTTCTGCCTGCATTTGTTTTTGGCTTTGATTAAAAATACACATAATTAGAGGAAACTCTCAAAGTCCTCTTTTCCCCTCCTGGCTTTTCATGGGTTTCAGATCTTCTCCTTTTTGTGCAAAGGAGAACCTTTGTAGAAGGGGAAAGTCTGGGATTTCTTTGAGATTTGATGGCAGGAAGTGTAACCCATGTGCTGACAGGCTAAAAAATAATAGGGGCCTAATTATATTTCTCGTAACATTTTTCAGGAATGGTTTATTGTAGGAGAATTTCAGAGTATCTTGTTTTCCCCTTTTCTTTACAGAAACTAACAACCTAGAACTATCTCAAGGCTCAGGAAGTTTTCCTTCTGGATATTACTACAAAGATCAGTGGAGGCCCAGGAGATTTAAGATTCGCCAATTTAATGATCCTGACAACATTACAGAATGCTTACAGAGAAAAGTGGTGTATTTATTTGGTGACTCAACAATCAGGCAGTGGTTTGAATACCTTACCACATTTGTTCCAGGTTGGTACTTGGCTTTTCTGTTCATGACTGTTGCTCACATATGTGAAATCAACTTTGAGATTAGCAAACTCACTTGGTGTCTGAAGAAAAACATCTGGTGAGGAAGCAACTATTTCTCTGTAGTACCTAAGAGGTATCTTCAACTTGGAGAATGTGTGATAGTTAGGGCCAGTGATGGGCTGTGAGGGATACAGCTGGGTTCTTTGAGAAGTTCATGACACTGATTGACTGGTCACTAAAAATCTTAGCACTTCACTTCTCCATGTGTGAGAGGAGGAAGCTATATCATATTGCCTCAGAAGTGTATTTCATTTCTGATATTCTGCCTGTAAAATGCACATGCACGTTTCGTTGTTTGCACCAACCCAGAGTTGACAATAAATTTATCTAGAGGGAAGCAGCGGACCTGATGAATGGTCCATTTTAATGTATCCATACTGCAAAGCCATCCCTGTGGCATGCAGTGTACCTTTCACTGATGTGGCTGAGATGGAGCTGGCTTCCATTGAGGGTGTCTGGATGAGTTCCAGGACATTTACCTTCCTGGCCCCTTGAATTTATTATTTATTTATTTATTTATTTATTTTTACTTTCTGGGTCACACCCGGCGATGCACAGAGGTTACTCTTGGCTCTGCACTCAGGAATTATTCCTGGCGGTGCTCAGGGAACCATATGGGATGCTGGAAATCAAACTGCTTGCAAGGAATATGCCCTACCCGCTGTACTGTCACTCCAGTCCCCTGGCTTTTTGAATTTGAGACTGCTGTCCAGACTCTGAGTAAAGTCCTACCTTTTGGAGGACCACCCCTAATCAAACATGGAGCAGAAATAAAGGCACTGTTTGCAAGTTAGAGAACCCCGAGAATTATTTTTGATGACTGTGTTTAACATAAATTGTTTGCGATGTTTTTATTTTTTCTGTTTTATTACCTTAACTTTGTTTCAAATTTAATTTTTAGAAGGAAAGGAAATATTGATAAGACCCCCCCCAGGGAAAAAATTAACTCCACTTTGTTTTCTGCTTTTTTTTTTAAATTGAAAATAAACTTAGGCTGGGACTGGAGAGATAGCACAGTGGGTAGGGAGTTTGCCTTGCACGCGGCCGACCCGGGTTCGATTTCCAGCATCCCATATAGTCCCCTGAGCACCGCCAGGAGTAACTCCTGAGTGCAGAGCCAGGAGTAACCCCTGTGCATCGCTGGGTGTGACCCAAAAAGCAAAAAAAAAAAGAAAGCCAAAAAAAAAAAAACCCCACTTAGGCTTAGCTGAGTTCTAGCTCATAAAGCTACATAAAGGAAATAAATTGTTTGTCATCATGCCAGGCATTGTTTGTTATTACCAAGCAGGGCCCTTCAGGAGTTTATTTATTCCTGTATTTAATTTTAGGACTTCCAGTCAGTGCTCAGTGGGCTCCTAGGTCAACTCTTAGAGATTTTTGGCCAACCAGACTGGCAGTTCAGTGCTAGGGCCTGACGCGTCCCTTTACCTTTACACTGTCTCTCTGGACCCTCCTCCAGGAGTTAATAGAGTTGCGTGGTTCTTCTTTATTTGAGTTATGAGGGTTGAAACCAAGAACTCCCACTGAGTTAAAGTCCTAGCAGCTGCTTGATTCTTTATTGTTATTGTTTTGGGGTCACACCTGGCAGTGCTCAGGGCTTACTCCTGGCTCTGTGCTCAGGAATCATTCCTGGTGGGGTTTGGGGAACTATATGTGTTGCCATGAATCAAACCCGGGTGAACCACGTGCAAGGCAGATGTTCTACCCGCTGTACTAGCACTCCAGCCCCAGTTGCTAGAATTTAAAATTCTAATGACGTAGGTTGATATTTTCTTTGATAGCAATGATCTCATCTAGTGTCCTGGTTATTTTTTATACCATACCCATTGCAGACAGAGTTCTCACCTGATAAACTCTTGTTTATTTATTTATTTTTTAAATTTCTGGGGCTGAAGTGATAGTACAGCCGGTAGGGTGACCCGGGTTCGATCCCCCACATCCAAGCACCATCAGGAGGAAATTCCTGAGTGCAGAGCCAGGAGTAACTCCTGAGCATCGCCGGGTATAACCCAAAAAGAAAAAAATTTGGGGGGGTTTTGGAGCCATACCTGGTTGTTTAGGGGTTGTAGCTGGCTCTTTGCTCAGGGGTCATTCCTGGAGGTGCTCAGGGAACTGTGTGCAGGGACAGAAGCTAATTTGGCTGCATGCAAGGCAGTGCCTTAACTTCTGTACTGTCTCTCTGACCCTTGATGATGCTTGATTTTTTTTTTAATTCTGCCATTATTATTATTTTTTAAAAATTTATTTGGGTTTTTGGCCACACTCAACAATTCTCAGGGGTCAGTCCTGGCTCTGCACTCTAGAATTACTCCTAGTGGTGGTCTGCAAAAGCCCTTCCTACTGTACTATCGCCTTGGCCCTGATGGTGCTAAATGAGAATGGTAGCTTAAGCTTGTAGTCAGTTTAAGTGGGGCCAAGTGTTGAACGGTAATGAACTACATACAAAAGTCTAGAACCTAGCTTTTTAAACTTTGGGTCATGATTCTGCATGGGATCATGTCACATAAAAACTTGAAGAGATTCATTTATTTATGATTTATTGGGACTGCACAGAGTAAAGGTAAAGTGGAACTTTTACTGTAAGCATTAAGAAGAAAACAGGACAAGTTTAGTTTGATGTCATTTTTTTCATATCGACTGTAAACTCCCTGAGAACAGGGCTCTGATGTATCCATCTGAGAGTTGATTGTGTTACCAAAACTTAGTCTGTCCTCTGTAAAGCACTAGAGGGATATCTAGGGATAGAAAGACAGACCTTATTTCCTGTGTTTTGTGTGATGAACCAGAGTTTGGACACAGACTTTGGGGGAGTAAGCGCTGTAGCACTGTCCTCCATTGTTCATCGATTTGCTCGAACGGGCACCAGTAACGTCTCCATTGTGAGACTTGTTACTGTTTTTGGCATATCGAATATGTCACGGGGAGCTTGCCAGGATCTGCTGTGTGGGCAGAATACCCGCAGTAGCTTACCGGGCTCTCCGAGAGGGACGGAGGAATTAAACCCCAGCCCTACCTGCTGTGCTATCACTCCAGTCTTTGGGGGAGTAAAAAGGAAGAAAACTATAGGTTCCTGGACTTTCAGAAGTCTTAGAGGAGCTTAGATGAAAGGGCTGGAGGAAAATCCAGCTTATCCTGCTTTATTTGTTAGGCTTACGAGCAACATAGAACTTCCTTAAGCCACCTATTTATAAGGTGAAATTGATAGTCAAAAGGAGGGAATGGAGCGAGAGGACAGTGGGGAGGGCATTTACCTTGCACATAGTGACTTGGGTTCCATCCCATGCATCCCAGATGGTCCCCGAGCACCTCCAGGAGTTATTTCTGAATGCGGAGCCAGGAGTAACCTCTGAGCATTGCTGAGTGTGACCCAAAAAGCCAAAAAAAAAAAAAAGTCAAAAGGAATAGGGTGGATCCCCTATTTCGCTTATTGCAAAGAAATACTTAGATTTTTTTAATATATGTATTATCATTATTATTATTGTTTTATTTTGGGGTCACACCCGGCATTGCACAGGGGTTACTCCTGGCTCTGCACTCAAGAATTACTCCTGGCAGTGCTCAGGGGACCATATGGGATGCTGGGAATCGAACCCGGGTTGGCCGCGTGCAAGGCTAACGCCCTATGTGCTGTGCTATCACTCCAGCCCCTAATATATGTTAATAAAACAAAATTTGTGCACAGTAGCAGCCAGGTAGATGGCTTCAAGGGCCGGAGCACATGGCTGGCTTTCAGAGTCTTCTGAGTTAGCTTTCAAGCATCACCCGGTCTTTCTAGCACTGCAGAGTGTCTTGGGGGTCAGCAGCACTGTTGAGAAAAGTAGACCTCCATAAGTATTCCTGGGAACCACCCCAAGGCCCTTTGCTCTCTGTTTGAGAAACTTCCCCCCCCCCAAAAAAAAAAACCATAAAAACAGAGGTTAAATCCCTGTCTGGAAGAAATCATTAATCTGTAAGAACAGTAGGGTATAAATGCCAAGTGGATTTTAAGATTTAAGTAATCAGTATAAATAAAAGTAGATGCCAATGATCAGTATAAATCGAAAGATTTCTTGGCTTACTAGTTAACAGGTATCTTTGCTTTTAAGATCTAGACATAGGTATAGTGTATCGCTTGTGTAATTACTTAAAAAGTCATGCCTATTCAGTGACTTAAATAACGTTAAAATAAAGAGCCATTGGTACATAAGGGACCAAAGTATATTGGGATAGATAGGCCTTTTATTTTGTATCATACCTTGTTGTTGTACTTGGTTTATTTAGTGGTGCTAGGAATCAAACCCAGAAACTCGTGTCTGAAATGCTCTCTCTCTTTCTCGGAGTCACATTCCTAGCCCCTAGGCTTTATTTTCAAAACCATTCTTTGGGGCTGGCTCAAAGGGCTAGAAGCGCATGCTTTGCTTGTGGAAGCTCTTGATTTGATCTCAGGCACTGCATGGTCCTCTAAGCCCAGAATTAGAAATAGCCCCTTAGCATCTCTGAGTATGGCACCAAAACTGAAAAAGCCTGAACAAGTCATTCTTTGCAATCACGAAGTAACTAACCAAAATACCTGTGCTTGGTTTAAACACTCTTATGAATTTGAGTTTTCCCTGTTTCAGATTTAGTGGAGTTTAATTTGGGTAGCCCCAAGAACGTGGGTCCCTTCCTTGCGGTGGACCAGAAGCATAATATCCTGCTCAAATACCGCTGCCACGGACCACCCATCCGCTTCACAACCGTTTTTAGCAGCGAGCTCCGCTATGTGGCAAATGAACTGAATGGCATCGTGGGAGGGAAGAACACGGTGGTTGCCATAGCTGTATGGTCTCATTTCAGCACCTTCCCCTGGGAAGTGTACATTCGACGTCTCAGGAACATCCGACGGGCAGTGGTTCAACTTTTAGATCGAAGTCCTAAGACTGTGGTTGTCATTCGTACAGCCAACGCCCAAGAGCTGGGGCCTGAGGTGAGCCTTTTCAACAGCGACTGGTACAACTTGCAGCTGGACACGATCCTTCGGAAGATGTTCTCAGGGGTTGGAGTATATCTTGTCGATGCCTGGGAGATGACCCTAGCCCATTATCTACCACACAAGCTACATCCAGATGAAATTATTGTGAAGAACCAGCTGGATATGTTCCTGTCCTTTGTGTGTCCCTTGAATAACTAGGCTGTCCTGGATGGGACTGGAGGAATCACATCTAGTGACCCCCATCTTATCTACATGACACCAAGTAGATGAGGTTCCATGCAGAGATGGATGGGTATACAAAAATTTTAAAAAGTGCTGATTTTTCTGTAAGGACATGTTAAGGCACTTAGAAAATGCAGGTTATATTTATGTCTACTAATAAAAAATTTTCCCCAATCTTAGTTGTGGGAGAATAGTTATTACTATTATTAATAGCATCTACACACTTGCCCTTAAAACCAAAGATGCTAAGGAAATACGTTTGAACTACTCCTAAGAAGGGAGATACTAGGCTATGATTGTGTGGGAAATGATATGACCTCAACAAAGAGGCAAGTTTTGTTAGCAATGGAATGTTTGTAGGCGATGTGCTAAAGGAAATTGAGGGCATCTGCATGAATAGGATAATTAGTTCACCTTCACTATGATGTGCTAACCAGACTTATATAGTCCCTGGCTCCTGAAACACTGAAGACTGTCTCAGGAATTTGTCTTGATGACTTACCTTTTCTGAATTACTTGAAACAAAAATCAACCTCCTTAGTAAAAATTTTCTAGTAGGAATATTAAAATGTCCTACTTTCATCTAGAAAACAAACCGGAGGGAAGTATGAAAAGCAGTGTGTATAAAACCAGTGCTTTGAGTTCATAATTGCTTTGGGAAATTTAAAAAAAAGAATTCTTACTCTAAAACAACTACTTTTGGGGAGCTGGAAGATTGCTCAATGTTAGAGCACATGGCTGGTGTGTGAGAGGTCCTGTGGTTGATCCAGCATCTCTTGGCGCTGTAGTCTCAAGCACTGAATAGTTAGACCTGCACTGCCTGGCTGGGGGCGGCTGGGAGTAGCCCCAGGACCTTGTCTCCCAGCACTGACTCTTGGAGGCGGCCGTGTTGAAAATTAACCACTTTTGGGAGATATAAAATCGGAAGTAATTTTTGTGTTCTGAATTTTGAGAGTTTTCAGGATTGATTTATATGTGAAGAATGCTATTGATCATTAAAAATTGTGAAAAATTTCCCACTAATTTCAAGTGTTTTTTTTCCTGTAGTTATTTTGAATTGCATACTGAAATTAGAAATTAAAATATGATTAGAAACTAAACTTAAAAATTGTCATCTATAATAGGCATTTACAGATTCGAGAATAAGACACATACATGTTTGGTAAATAAAAGCCTGCTATTCTGACTAAGTATCATACAATAATCAGATTGTCAGTTTTGCTTGATTCATCAATTTCAAATGAGTTTAAGTTAATTGGGGACTATTTGGTAAGCACTCTTTTCTTACTGAGCCACATTCTAGTGTTTTATCCCTAATGTTACTGTCACTGTCACTGTCCTCCCTCAAATTGTTCATCGATTTGCTTGAGTGGTCCCAGTAACATTGTGAGACTTGTTACTGTGTTTGGCATATCGAATACGTCACGGGTAGCTTGCCAAGCTCTGCCGTGCGGGCGAGATACTCTCGGTAGCTTGCCGGGCTCGCTGAGAGGGGCGGAGGAATCGAACTCCGGTCAGCTGTGTCGGCTGCATGAAAGGCAAACACCCTACCCGCTGTGCTATCGCTCCAGCCCATCCCTAATGTACGTGTCGAAATTTGTGAAGCTTTAGAGATGTAGATTGTGCTCATGAGAAATGAGCACTCAAAAGAATGACACACAAAAATTAGAGTTTTACATTTAAAATAGAGGGTTTAATTTACTTTAATTTTGGGGATTGGGGCCCTTCCCAGCAGTGCTCAGGGCTTACTCCTGGCTCCATGCTCAGGGATTGCTCCTGGTAGTGCTTGGGTGACTATATGGAGTGCCAGGGACTGAATCTGGGTCGGATGCGTGCAAGGCAAGTGCTATACCCGCTCTACTCTTGCTCTGGCTCCAAATAGAGGGTTTCAACTTAAAATTGGTAGTACAAGGAGGTAAGACAACACCGGTATGTGACCAACCTGGGTTCAGTCCCTGTCACCACATATGCTCCCCTGAGCACTGCTACAAGTGGCACTTGAGCATAGAACCAGAGTAAGCCCTGAGCACAACCAGGTTTGACCCAGAACCTCCTCCTAAAATATAAAGTATTCAAAGGTTCAGGATATGGTTCAGTAGTATAGCATTTGCCTTGCATATGTGAGGCTCTGGGTTCGGTTCCCAGCACCACATGGTGTCCTGAGAGCACCACTGAGAGTGATCCCTGAGCACCTAGGTGGGAGTAGCTCCTGAGCCCACTGATGGTGGCCTAAGAAAGCAAACAAAATGAAAAAAAGAAAAGAAAAAAACTACAACAAAGGATTTAAAATATTTCTTTACTAGTCTTGAAGATTAATTTCAAGGTTTTTTTTTTAAATTTTTTTTTGGGGGGGTCACACCCAGTGATGCACAGGGATCAGTCCTGGCTCTGCACTCAGGAATTAACCCTCGCGGTGCTCAAGGGACCGTATGGGATGCTGGGAATCGAACCCGGGTCGGCCGCGTGCAAGGCAAATGCTCTACCCACTGTGCTATCACTCCAGGCCCTCACGTTTTTTTTTTTAAATAGCACAGATTTTAGGTTCTTTTCTGTGTCTGACATGGAGCAAGTAAAAGAATATATGTTAAGATAGATTGGTTTCATTGTTCTTTAAACTTCAGCGTTTTCAAAGATTACCTAAACTATTTGATGATAAAAAAGCAGAATTAGGGGTCATTTCTCCAGTAATTGTGGAACCAACCTTCATTACTAATATCCAGTGACTTCGAGTTTTCTGTTTCAAGAAACACTAAGGGAAAAGGGAAGATAAAAATAATAAAATAAAATTGCTTGTCATGATTTCAGCAATTTTGGTCATGATATTTAATTCTGATCATGATCCTAACTAAATATATTAGCTCCATTTTATAGATTTTTGAGTTCAGATTTTAGCTAAAGGAATTTGAGTTCAGATTTGATCTAAGGCATCAGAGAAGAATCCATAACCCATTTTACTGCAACTTGGATTTTTGTAGAAAGGTTTTCTTTTCCACCAGATAAAAGAATACTGTTTTGAATATTTTCCCAAGGATTGATTGGAGAGGCCTAAGGATTCTGAAGAGAATTTCAAGGAGAGGACCTTGGCTTAGTGCTTTGGGCTGATGCTGCTCTCTTTGTGCAAATGATTTCTTGCCATCACATTCAGTACTGTTTTTTTGATTTAGTCTAAAGATTTGACATCATAGGATCTTAAAGTATTCTCAGCAACTTCAGTTCCTCTTCTAATTTCTCTTTGTACACTAACTCTGCTGTGGAAGTTTAAAAAAATTGTTAAGTTCAGAGATTGGAGTCTTATGTAACTCTCAGAAGAATTAGAAATTTTATTATTTCTTTTGAAGAGTTTATTTAGGCAGTACTACAGTAAGTGTGAATATTAGCAAGCAGCCCATATGACACAGTTTAAATTAATATTTATATTATGAATATAAAATTTATTATGGATATAAATTTTAAGAATATTTAATTTATAAGGCTATATATGGGTAGAATTAATAATTCTGTCATCTAGCTCAATAAGTATTAGCATTTTGGTATATTTTTTACACCTTCTCTCTCCCCTCTTGTTTTTGGTGTTGGGGATTAATTCCAGGCAGGGCCTCATCAATGTGAAGCATATGATCTAGAACTAAGTTAAATTCTTGATACCTCTCAGTTTTTTTTTAAACCACATAGATTTATTTATTTTTAGTTTGTTTGTTAAAAACTACATAGCTTTAATCACGGAAAGTATATGATTGTATTTGTATTTTTATATTAACGTGCAGATATTTTTTCTCTTAGTCTTTATAACTTAATTGTAAAAGTTTGTCTCACAGTTTACTAATATTATTCTTTGCCTAAGTTGGACATGTTTTGGCATTTAGATTTATAATAAAATGAAAATGGGTTTGTGTATAATTTCAATGGGTCAAAAATATAAATACATATTTTGGGATGACACCATTAATTTTCTTTGGTGGATCTCATATTTTGGAATGGAAAAGATTGAGGCTATTTGTGAAAGGAGAATCCAGAAAATAGAGACCTTACTGTGTAAATTGTATCTTATAAAAGTGATCCTTTCTCTAGTAAGTGTAAACAGACCGTTGGTTTCTAATCTGACTTATTTTGCCATGCTGAACAATTTATTAAATACTAGCTGGCATTTCCTGAATTCAGGGATTTACTTTTAGATTGATGTATCAGGGTACTTCATGAGAATGTATATGGTGACTCTACACACTGTGTATTACATATTAGAGGTGAGACTGTTTCCCTGTCCTATTAAGGAAATAGCAGTTACTAAGAGAGCTACAGAAAAGTAAATGTCCAAGGGAGGCAATATACACAAAATCTCTCCCCTGTGCCACAGATGTTCACATTAATGTTGTGGTCTGTGTCAATTAAGTCATTTTGTTATTTGTTATTTTTGAGCCTAACCCAGCTGTGCTCAGGGATTACTCCTGTTTCTGCACTCAGTCATCACTCTTGGTGGGGTGCTAGGAACTATATGGGGCACTCAGGATTGAAGCAGGTCAGCTTCAAGCAGAGCAACAGGCTTACTCACTACTGTCTGGCCTCAAATTCAGCTTTTTAATAGCTAGTTACTCATGCCAGAAATTCCTCTTTAAGTGTATTCTCTCATGCATTGCATTATTCTCCCCAAGTTTTATGTCTATAGTGCAGTACCAAGTGCACTTGCAATATCTGACTTCTTAGTTTGCAATAAATAAGGTCTCTGAGTTGCTCTTTTTGAAAGACTGCAATCCAGGAGTACTAAGAGTACTATAGTACTAGGAGTACTAAGAAACCCTGTGGGTGTAGGGGCTGGTTGTGAGATAAGAGGGCTATTGACTGAAGAAGGATATAGAAGGATATAGAAGGTTTGAAGGCCATGAAATACACTTCAATTTCTTTTCTGTCTCCCGAATATGCATTTGCAGTTTAGCTTTTTAAAAGAGTAGTTGGACTAGATAATACAGTACTATAGATAGTGCAGTGCATAAGGTACTTGACTTGCTAGCTAACCTGGCTTCAACCCTCAGCACCCCATATGACCCTTAGGCCCACCAGGAGTGATGACTGAGTTTGATCCCTGACATCCTTGGTGGTCTCCTGAGCACCAAGAGTAATTTTTTTAAAAAAATTTTTGCTTTTTAGGTCACACCCGGTGATGCACAGGGGTTACTCCTGGCTTATGCACTCAGAAATTACTCCTGGCAGTGCCTGGTGGACCATATGGGATGCTGGGAATCAAACCCAGGTCCTGCCACATGCAAGGCAAACACCCTACCTGCTGTGCTATCGCTCCAGCCCCGCAAGAGTAATTCTTGAGTGTAGAGCCAAGAGTAAACCCCGAGCATCTCTGGGTGTGGCCCAGAAACCAAAAGAAAAATAAGAAAAATATATTACAAAAAGTGTAAATCAAGTTAAGTGTTATATTTTGTTTTTAATTTTCTGCTACTTGTGGAATAGCAGAAAATGAGAAGAAATCAGGCTTTTAGGAAAAATGTTATGTGTCTTAAAAATTAATTGTTGGCGGGGCTGGACAGATAGTACAGCGGGCAAACTGCTTGCCTTGTACTTGGTGGCGGATGATAGATGATCCCTCTCATCCTATATAGTATAGTTCCTGAGCACCCCCAGAAGTAATCCCTGAGTCTGAACTGCCAGGAGTAATTTGAGCAGGGCCCCCTACCCCATTTTGTGAAAAAAAAAAAAAATTAAGGCACCGAGAGTTACAAATTTATTCATAGTTAAGTTTTAGGTTTTATGTTCTAGAACCAATGCTGCCACCAGTATCTGCTTCCTCCTACCATCCAGCCTCCCTCCTTCACAGGCACATGCTTAAGTTTGGATGTTGTAGTTTGGATTTCATGCTTCCAGTGCTGTTGACTCTGTGGTTTGGGTGTACATAGACATACCACCCCTCTACGCCACACATGGACCAGATGCCCTTGACCCCTGCCCTGCCCTTTAACCTTCTTTCCTCCTCAACCCGCATCCTTGTAGGTTGTCTTCAAGTTTTAAGAGCCTT